ATTGGCAGATAGCAGTCGATCTCGACAGCATAATAGATAAGTACCTGAATTTTTATTGAAATAATTTCACTTATTCAATAAAACTGAGATTAATTAATTTCACTTATTAAATAAAACTGAGATTAAATAACTTCACTTATTAAATAAAACTGAGACTAAATAATTTCACTTATTAAATAAAACTGAAATTGAAAAATTTCACTTATTAAATAAAAGTAAAAATGCTGAAGACTTAACTTACCACAAAAGAGCGAGCCTTTTCAGCTATGAAGTGCATCTTCAGTGATTTATACTCTTGACTGACCCCAGAGCTCATGGAAAAGATAGATACTACTGTACTAAATATCTGAAGGTAGGAGGAGAAAGGAATAATATCTATAAATTGATAGTCTATTCATGTCATTGTGGGAATCTCAAAATTAATTTTATAGGTTTAACTCAGAATTTAAGTTAATCCTCTGAAGTTCTCAATTTATTGTTTATAAAAACAATAAAAAAAAAACTTATATTTTAATATCTGTTGCGAGTATTTGTTTATGTTCTGTGGGTTACATAAATAATGACGCATCATTTACACAAGTCATTTTTTATGTTGCTGCTGTAATTTTGTTCTTTTGACAATTCATATTACCATTGAATCTGATTTGTATTAAGCTCAACAAACCTTACATCTTACAAGAACCCTAGTATGAAACTAAGGTAATGTCTATCCATAATTAAATCTATTCAAATTTACATTTTTGTGAAAGTTCATAAGATAATTTTGGGACATGCCTTTTCTTGAAACTTTTTTTTTCAAATATTTCCTAGTATCCATAAAAACTTGTTCCATTCTTTTTCTGTCCAATTTTCATGTTCTTTGGCAAACTTAAGTCACGTTTGCTTATTTACAGATTGAAAAAATGGTTTTCTTCTTGCAACACAACCTTTCAAGGCAAATTATACGAGTTTCCTTCTGATCTTGTGTCCTTGTAGCATCTAGATTTTTAGCAATTGTGCAAACACAATAATTTCAAATGTTGTTCAGCAGTAGGACTATGTGTTTTTTAGACCTGTCTAAACGTTTCCAGTTTTCTTGGTTTTTAAAAATCTTTGATGACATAATGAATTCCAGAAATATAACCTTCAACTTCTTTTTGACTTTCCTCTGACTGTAAATCCTTATAGTAAAGATGGACATTTGTCATTTTCAGAAAGCTGAGAAAAAGTTAATTTTTGTTATATAGGTTCAACTTCAATATTTCTGATAATTTTTTAAAAAATGTTCGAATTAAGTCATGAATAAAAATTATTGATTTTGATTTTCTCACCTTTTTACAAATGGCAGATGTCTGTCTTTGAAATTAAGCCACTCAATTATTTTATAATGAATATTTAAACACTAATATATTTTTCACTTTCCCATGTTAGCAATACATTTTTCATTTGTATGATACAGATTTCCCAACAGTTTTGTTATTTAATGTTATGAATGATTTAATTGTAAGGTGAATATTTTTATTTCTCTTTCAAATGTTATGAAAATAAAAATGTTAATAATTTCCATTACATTTAAATAAACATTTTAATGGAAGCACTGGCATCCGCTGCAAAGTAGGCTACACTGTCTTGAGGTGTAGAAATAACCTTGTTGATTCTGTTGAAATAACTTTGTTTGTTCTGTTTTTTCAATGTTGGGATTTGATAAAATTTTAATAATACTTTCTAAATACTTTATTATAAACTAGCTGACGTACCCGTCGTTGACGGGTGTATAGTTAAAATTTGAGAATCTTTTTTTTTTAATGAATTTTGTATTATGGGGGAGGAGGGTCCAAATTCAATTTCATAAAATTGGGTCGGGAGGAGGGAGGGGGGTTGTTTTGAATTCTTTTATGGGTGGGCTTATGGAAGTCAAGGTTTCTCAATAGTTATAATAAAAACATTGTTAGTTATAGGTGCCTAACCATCCATCCATTTCAGTTATTTGCTATCCAGTTATTTATTAATCAACTTAATTTAAGGATTAAAAACTAAGTAAAATATTGACTTAAAATTGAAAATCTATAAGTGAAACAAATTTTTACTTCCTTGACTGACAATGATGCTCAATACTTTGTTATTTGGCTATTTGTTTAGGTACAACACAACTAAACCGACCGACACCGAACCATTAAAATTTGTTAAGTGTTTAATTTTCATTTATGATGAAGCGAGCAGATTGTGGAATCGATTTATTAATCATAAAGAGTTGTAGTCTCTACATTTCTTTAAACTCTGCTGAGTTTATCGGAGGCAAAATAACATTGGACATTGAGTCACCTACATCTGTGTAAAATTAGAACTTCATCTGAATATTGTGGCAGACGATTTTTTTTTCCGATTTCCTGTTAATTCGTTTGGTTAATCCTAAAAATGTATACAACATTTGTGAGGCTCGGGAAGTTGAATCGAATGACACCTTGAACAGGAAGATCGGACCAAGTTGAAAAATAAGTGTGTTTTACCCCGACAACGCCTTACAGATTTTCAGTATTACGGATTTTTCCCGTTGAGTTGTGATTGTTGTTTCCATCAGTTGAGTAGTACAACTTTTAAATGTGGCTCGAAATAGATTAGGCTGGGATGGGAATCTAAATAAGTAATTGCCTAACCGGGATCTCTAGACAAATTACTCAAGAATTCATAACTTTGGTTCTACTCAGTATTTTGTTTTCATTTAAAGCCTATATTTTAAGTCAAGCAAACTTAAATATAATATCAAAATGTCAAAAGTATACCATTAGCCATTTCCGAGCTTACCCCTGACAAAAGTTTGTTGAGCAATGCGGACATCCAGACAGAGAAAAATTTTTGAAAAGTGGATTTGGTGTCTGTAATGTATAAAACGTAAAGACATCATGAACCGCGTTGATTCTATCCAATGTACAGACAAAACCTTTATTTTATTTATATAGATGTTCTTTAACCTATAAACATATGTTTATTATTAACATTTATTATCAAGATTAACCGAAATCTTTAGACAAATTACTCAAGAATTTATAACTTCGGTTCTACTCAATATTTCGTTTTCATTTAAAGTCTATGTTTTTATTCAAGCAAACCTTAATATAATGTCAATTTTTCAAAAGTGTACAATAAATCATTGCTGAGCTTACCGCTGACAAAATTTCATTGCAATGCGGACATACAGACAGACAAAATTTTTTAAAACTGGATTTGGTGTCTGCAATGTATGACACGGAAATATATCTTAAAGCGGGTTGATTCTATTCAATGTACAGACAAAATCTTTATTTTATTTATATAGATATACACAAATAAACATTCAAAATTAACCAATACCCGAATGGTTGAATAGTGTGCTTAAAATAAATTGTGATAATACCAACATGTCAACTTTATTAATGTTGTGCAGTCATATAAGTTTTAACATTTTAGAACTTTGTTTTCTGATTTATGAGTGTTGCTTATAATGTGGAGATTCAATGGTTGCTTGTTAAAATCCTAAACTTATCAACCGAACCTAATTGAATCACAACTTTGAACTTAACATTTCTAATTGAAATTTTGTTTAGTACAGAAATTTGCAAACATAATTTTTACTATTATCTAATAATCCTCCGAGGCGTCGAAAAAGAAGATGGCCTGAAGTGTTGCTTATAATGTGGAGATTCAATGGTTGCTTGTTAAAATCCTAAACTTATCAACCGAACCTAATTGAATCACAACTTTGAACTTAACATTTCTAATTGAAATTTTGTTTAGTACAGAAATTTGCAAACATAATTTTTACTATTATCTAATAATCCTCCGAGGCGTCTAAAAAGAAGATGGCCTCGGGACCTTCTAATATAGAACTTTAATTTTAGTTCTACCAATGGGTAGTTTCTCTTCATGCTGTACATGTCATGTTACCAATGTCACATTTACTTATTGTATTTTCCATATAATACAGTTGTAAATCTCAATAAAATAAAAAAAAAAAAAAAAACTATTATCTAAAATTATTACAACATTGAATATGATATGACTGTTTTTATTATAGGATAACTTATTAAAAAATTTTGTTACTAATCTAATTTCTGTTGTTGCTTATATTCCTAATTATTTCAAACTAAAATAAGTTTTAACAAGTGATTAAACTTAAAGCTAATGTTAATGTTCAACAAATTTTAGGAAACTTTTTAAACTCAGTGCTGAGCTCATCGATAGCATCAGACCTGTCTCTACACTGGCGAAACAATGACATTGATGAGTTCATCACTGAGTTTATGAACTTGCCCTTTGTGAATTGTAACAGAAAGTATTCTTCCTTTGTAAGTGACTTCTGAACAATTCAGCTCATCAATTCTGTGGGCAGTGAAAGTGCTGCCATCAAGTATTTAAAAAGTAACATAGTTACTTGAATGTTTTACATGAGGAAGCGATTTTCAGCAAAATGATGACTTATCTAATTTGTTTATGAGTCCTCCATATAAATTATTTCTTACTTATATCCATATAAAGTAATTTTTACCAATGATATACTTGTAATTTGTTATTTAAGAACATTAACCAATGACTATGAAACACAAAAATAAGCAATATACAAACGTTTTTATATTACATTTGAAAATTGCCTCAACCTTAATTTAGATTTCAATGTCAATAATAAAATGTTTGTGAAAACTTTCATTTATTTTTAATTTTTAACGTGTAAATTTTTGATCCTCAGAAGAAAATGTTTTCTACAAAAAAAAAAAAAAATACCTTTGATTTCAAACTTTAGTCAGTTACATTATTTAGTCCATTCCAAATAACAGTGTTTTAATTTTTTTTTTTTTAATTCTATTTAATTGCCTCATTCTAATGCTTTTCTAACATTTCCTTGAAAAATTCACTCGTTTTGAGTTAATACACTTTTTTTTTCAGGATGGACGATATATGTATATATATATATATATATATATATATATATATATATATACATATAGAAATTAATTATTGATTTTTAAAATAAATTATGCAATTTTCAGGATGTATTCTATTGTATGTTGCGAAATCTGTTTGAGGAGTACAAATTTTTCCCTCAGTATCCTGAAAAAGAATTGTTCATCACTGCCCAGCTTTTTGGGGGCATCATTGAGCGAGGTCTTGTATCGTAAGTTATTAAGAATTAATTCTATATCAACTTCATTACCGCACTTTCAATTAAAATAATTGTTATTAAAAATACATCTCATTTTTATTTTATTCAAATATTTGTGGCTAAATTTTCTAGTGATTATCGGGAGCTTGGGATGGCTTTGAGGTATGTTCTTGATGCTCTCAGGAAGCCACATGATAGTAAGATGTTTTATTTTGGTATTGCTGCTTTAGATCGTTTCAAATCTAGACTTAAAGAATACCATAAGTATTGTGAACATATCGCAAGTATTCCGCACTTCTCGCAGTTCCCACAGCATTTGATAGAAGTAAGTATTCTTTTATCTGATATTTAAATTTGCTCATCTGACATTTTAAGAACACTAGTGTAGATTTAGTTTAGGATCAACAAACTATAGTTTGATTGTGATTAAATGGCAACCCGAGGGCGAACTGATGTGGCACTAAGTTGAAAATCATGTTTTGCTTGTTTCCTAACTTTTCCAAATTATTCACATAGTATTTACAAATATATGCACTTATTAAAATATTATATCATAATCTTCTTATTTATGTTTATATTTGTAATTATTATTTATTCAGAGAGAGCTAATGTGTTACAAAATGTGAGTTTAAACTTAGTTGCATAAGTTTGCTCTTGGGCTGCCAACTAATTGCATCCAATTTACAGTAAATGGTCTAATCAAGATAAAATAATTTACAGTTAAGATAGTTCCATAGATTAGTAATTAAATAGATAATGCATGAAACAATAATAAATTTAGTAAAATATTGTATATATATATTATAATACCCTCATAGCATATAATAAACATAGTATGAAGTAGTATTAGCTCAGATGAATTTTATAGTTATATATGAAAATGAAATGAAAAAATAATTTTATGCTGGTACTGCAGTTCCCTAAGAATAAAAACAGAACTACCTTAATTAAGAACATTAGTCTGGCTTAGATGAATACCGGTACTTGTTAAATAGCTGGTAGTGTCGGACTGCTATCTGCCAATGTTTATAACCTTAACACTAATAACTGATAAGCTGCTGATAATATCTTTGTATTCATATTTATTGTATTATATTCATCTTATTGATATTCATATCATTATATCTTCGTATTCATATTTATTGTATTGTACTGATATTATTGAAATTGTAAACCAAAACAAATGTAATTATAAAAAAATGCTTTTATTTTACAAGATTTATATAAAATAGACCAAAACATTATACATATATAATTAAAAAACATTACAACATATATATAAAAATAAATAAAATGATAAAAATAGGAAAAAAATAGACAAAAATGAATTAAATAATAAATAAAAAAACACTATGAAGACTATAAAGAACATATTCTATATATTATTTCTAAAAGTTCTTTGTTTTTTTTCGGTACGCCATAACTTCGTCAATTCTTTATCAAATTCAATGATTGACCACTCATTTTAAATATATTCTCCTTCATATGTGAAAAATAGTCCCATCCCCCCCGAAATTCCTGGAAAAAAGTTATGGAGGAAAAGAAATTTAATTTGCGAATAACTCAAAAAGTATGCATTTTTTTCTTGATTGTACCCATGATAATTAGAAAGATTACTAAATTACCTACAAAATAAAATAAAAAAATTGTAAAAATCGGACAGTTATTAACAAAGATACAGTCCATTAGTTTTGGTATACTTAATAATGTCTTCCTGTTTAAAGAAATTGCATTTAGGAGTAGAATAGTCTACTAAATTTTTTTTCTGACTTTTATATTAACTTTATTATTTCTTAAAGACATTTGGTTGTTCTTACATTTTATTTTTTTTTAATAATTTAGAATATCCTATGATCGGGGCATTATTTTGTCTTTATTACTTTTATTATTTTTCCAGTCAGCATTTAAAAATAGATCCTAGCAAAGCAATTGTTATGTTTAATGGAATATTATATTATCGAATAAGGAAAAAATATTAATTCCTTCCTTACATAATACATGATATATAGGAACTACTTATTTCCATATTGTTTTGCTATTTCTTCACTAAACAAAATTTTCTAATTTTTCGCATGGGCCAACTAATGTACATATAAAAAAAATGATATAAACACTATGAAAAAAATATGAACAATTTTATTTTGACTTAATTTATTTTGGTAGGGAAAATAGTTTTGTGCTATTTAAAATAGCGAGGAACGGATCCTCTTCTCTGTGAGCCCGCCGCCACAAAAACTCACATAAATATGAATTGAGGTGTTGTCTGGCAGTTCCTCTATGTTTTTTAATTTCTCTACTTAGCTGAGCCCCATAATCGTTCCATGGCTCCATAATGTGTTGAGTATGGACCCCACTTGATAGATCAACAAAATTATAGCTGTAATTCACCTGGAAATGATTATACTTTGCTTCATTGAGTTGTTTGGTGTTGTTTCCTTTCCAACAATCGGAATAAATGGTGCTTCCCTTTTGTACATTGTTTTTAATAGCTTCTAATAAAGTTGTTGCTTTTCTGTCATTTATTTTAAGATAAAACACTCATCTGTTTCTCGCCAAACTCTGCCAAACATCCATTGCTCAGGTAGGACTCTCGTCTACTTCAACGACTTATCCAGGCCCTCCAATTTTTTTACTTGACCTGTATAGCATGTTATGGGCACAAACATCTCTTAAAAATTTGTTACGATAGTTGGCTGGAATGGTTCGAGCTGCTCTTTTCCCCACTGTATTGTTGTTAAATTACGGGGCTACCCTTAAATGAATTTTAAAGCTGTTAAAAAAGAAATCCTCGACCCCTCTAACCACGTTCCTTTCCTTATAGAAACGGTTTTGTTACAACCGTCATCCGTTATTTCATGACCTTCATCACAATATTTCACCTTTGCAAATATCCCACCGTCTTGAAAATATTTGACAGCCTCTTCTTCTGAAGACGGCAATTTCCACAATATAACTACATCCATAATTAAATAAGACTAACTCACAGCTTACACAAGGAACAAAAAATAAACAATAGAATAACTTAGGTTAGAGGAGGTAAGAAGGGAGGTTATGTGAAATAAGATTATATAACAAGGGGGGTTTCAATGCTACCCGTTATTTAACAAGTACCTGAACACCAAATGATGCCTGATTAACTGTTGATTGTTATTGCAATGGTGCAGTTGATTGAATTAAACAGTATAGACTCAAGTAGATTTTGCATGTTTACGGAAGGCTAAATATGGAATAGGTGGTGGAACAGGAGTTGTTTGAAGGAATTAGTGAAGGATGATTGGCGTATGGAGTTAGGTAGAGAGTTCCAAAAGGAGGTAGCACGAAGACGAAGGATTTGCTGAAGGAAGCAGTTTTGTCTGAGGGGATATATGAATCTATAGGTTGAGATCTGGTATTGAAAGAGTGGATAGAATAAGAAGCTTCAGGATGTAGGGACTGTTTTTGGTTCTGAGGACTTGGAAAAGGAAAACACCAAGGAGGTTAGGAAATAGAATAAAGCCAGTTCAACTCGGTATACCAGAATGTAACATGGGAATGCTTGGGGATCCCAATATAGCATACCCTGTATCTCCAGAGAATTGGCTAGCTGAGCTTGTTTGGCTTGGTTAAGCCTCACCTCTAGGGTACTTAGTTGAGATTTTAATAGCTTATTTTCACAAAGTAAATTTTCTATAATCTTCTCCTGTTTTTATGCCATCTCTTCTATTTTTTTAAGTCTCATTATTTTCAAAAGCGAGATCGCTTTGCTTTTCAAGCAAGACTTGACTGATTGATCTCCTCATTAGTGATTACTTTATAATTAGCAATAGAACAGATCATAAGTTCTATTTGAGTATTTTTTATTTCTTTTCCTATTTAGCATTATAGCCTTCACCTTCACAGTTCAATTCAATCATGGTGAGGTACCACTATTTATTCTGATCTCTGTTAAGAGATTTTTATTCATCATTAGTTTCCTATCTTGAAGGGAATTGTAAAAATAAATAATGTTCACACTTTTTTTTTTTTGTGGGATTTAAAATCATAAAAAATGGGAAAATGATCTATTAAACACAGCAATATATTAAGAAATGAGATAATGGTTATTTACTATCATCATTATATAAATAGGCAAACACAAATCGGTTCAGCCCCTTTTACTCCTCTATTATTCAACCGATTTTCTTCATTATTTTTTTTGTTAAATGGATATTGATGAGCTTTAGTGTTATCAATAAATACAAATATAAAATAGTATGTGAATAAAAATATAAGTGGTAGTTTGTTCAAAACTGCTTATCTCTGAAAATTCTTCACCGATTTATTTTTTTAGTTTTGACACAACGTCGCAATAATATTTAGAAGTTTTTTTCTATACGTTTCATTATCATCGGACCTTTCCTTTCGAAATGGTGGCCGAAAAACGTGATTCGCTTGTCTGTAGACTGTAGCGCCAATACGGCTTCAACGATTTCAATGAAACTTGGCTAAAGTCTTCCCCTTGAAACCTTTATAATTTATGTATATAACATACTTTCCCGAAAACAAGCTGCGTACATTTTTATGATGAGTTCAGTATTTTATTTGCGAATAACTCAAAAAGTACACATTTTTTTTATTGATAATACCAGTATTTATTCAAAAGCTTCCTGAAATCCCTACAAAATGAAAAAAAAAATCATCGAAATCTGACTATTTGTTGCAGAGATATATAATTTTAAACATTTAGTACATTTTCTTTCCCTTCCAAGTTCAATTTCTTTTATTTTGTTTTTTGATAAATTGAAAACTTTTCATTTACTGAGGTAATTAAGTCTATTATTTGAAGAGATGATATCATGGAATGTTAGTGAAATGATATCTAATAAATTAAATTTAAAAATATTTTCTATAGTTTTACTCATTGTTAACTTAAATACTTCACAAGCATTAGTTAATGGAACAGGAATGAGACTGTAGTATTAACGGGGGCTACTTCAAATTAAAGTATCAAATCGCAGGATAAAAGTTTTGGAAAAATGTGTATATTATTGTGACGTCCAGTAATTTCGCATGGACAATTATATGTGGCAGCAATTAGAGCACATTCATTTAAAATATTGAAATTTATATTTTCATTGGCAATGGGCCATTGGAAATTCAAATTGGGCCTATGTACTAAACAATAACAGAACATTCAAATAAAACATTATTTATATAGAAGTTTTGGATAAAAATGGATTTAAAGTGAATTTAAATTGCTAAATTAAATTATTTTTTACTTTCTTAATCATAACATTAATTTATTGTTATAATAACACACATAAATTAAAATGAAAATTAAATATGTTTGAATGAGTGTATTTTGTATTACTTATAAATAATTTTAAATGACTTGAGCTCGATTTTTAATTGAAACTGAATTTTTTTTTGTATTAATAAATGAGGATTTTTGAATCGTGATTTACACTTTATTTATTTACTTTATGGTCGAATTTCGATCACTGGGCGAACACTAGTATACATAAATGTTTTTAGGTAAATGTACCAGTAATAGACACTTTAAGAGAATTTTTCAATATTAATGTGAGCTACAGCTTTAGTTCTGATAGTGAATCTTCACAAATAGATTTAATTGAAAGCAAATTTAGTCTTTTATCAAAATATGTGCGCTAGATAGGCAGTTGGTATCATCTCTTATAAAAATTGGAAAATCCGAAAAATGATTTTGTACCAGTAATTGACACTTGGAGTTTTCAAAGTTCCAGTAATAGACCACTCTTATACCAGTTATAGATAGGCTCTTTTTATAGGAAAAAATTATAACAATAAACAAAATAAAATTATAATGTTTAAAATATATGTATTTGTGATAAGAGGCAAATGCATGAATACGATTATAAATTATAATACGTTGAGGAGATTCTCCTTCCACTTGTTTTAAGTTAATTTTTTCTCCCTGAAATTTGTAATAAAAAATAAAGGAGTGATCGTTTATTATTAACACAAACTATTAAATGATTTTAAAATATTTCATATCTTGAAAAAATAACCGTCAGAGGGAAATAGAATTACAGTATAACAATCAAACAAAAACAAAAAGTGTATATCTAAAGGAAGTGCTAAAGGAACTATTAAATGATTTTAAAATAGTTCATATCACAAAAAAATAACTGTCAGAGGGAAATAGAATTACAGATGGAAATAGAATTACAGTACAACAATCAAACAAATAAAAAAAGTGTGTACATTAAAGTTGTAAGTCTGTAAATATTGTTATAGCACTTATTGTTATTCTCAGTTTGACGGGAAACTCCTGCAGTTCGCTAAAACAAATTAAGTTAATAATGGTGGAAATAAAAAACTTATTTCCTTTAAAGTTGCCAACTTCTGTTATGGGATACTTAAGGGAAATATATTTTGAAATTGAATTTAATCATGAAAACAAGTTAATTCCTTTAAATAAAAAGAATTTAACTCCATTCTGAAAGTGGCTAGTTCTCGCTGATATCAGACTTTACTCTTCAGATTTTATACAAAACCCATAGTCTCCTTGGGACACACGGTGCGAAATCTGTGATTAGTTTCTTTAAAATTTAGCCTTATCCTAAATTTGGTTTACTTGCTATAAAAAAACTGTTGGTCAAGGATATAAAAATGTACTACTATTTGTACAGTTTAATTATCAAATTTTCTTCATTTATCTTTCTTACACCCGGATTAACAAATAAAAATGTATTGAAATTTATATATCATAAATTCTACAGGTTTGTTTATATTAAAAAATCTGGTGAGTACAATACTTTCTGCCGCAAACACAACTTTCACTTTCCGCTCAATTTTGAATAGAAATTATTTTCTGGCCACCTTGGGCTATTACAAAATTCTTGAATTGCATTTTTAACCGAGCTAAAGCTACAAGCTTACAGCTAGCAAATCATAAATACCATTAAAATAATAAAAGTCCTATTTATTATATCACCGGTTGATTATGGATTCTACAATCTGTTGATTATGGATTTTACGACTAATAGTTATTAAACTGTTATTTTCCATTGCAAACTTTACTTAAACTGAATTCAGAAATTTGCATTGTCTGTCATAGTAAGGTCAAAAGTTGTCACACTAACTGTAGGTGGACACTGTTGGAATATCACAAAGGGAAAATTCATCACATTAATTTTATTTTCTTAAAGGTTACATGTTGATTCTTCGGAATAAATGGACGATAGATATCTAATTTTTTAAATATAATATCAGATCTTGAATTATTAAACTACACTAAATATATTTAAGGTTATAAAGATATTCATGAAATATTTTTATATTTCACTTTTTTCACATAAGTACAATGAAATAGTATCTTAAACAATATCATTGCCTTGAATCCGTGGATTTTAAATACTTTTTCAAACTTAAAAATATTTTAAAAGTTTACATTTGGTTAGTAAATTTCATTTAATTTCCTTGAAAACATGTGATTTATGTTAAATAATATTAGTTCTAAAACATTATTATTTACAGTTTTTACACCACTCTCCATTACATTCTACAACTTTCTATATTAGATATTGTTTTTTTCTAAAAGTCTGCTTTCCAACAATATATTATACATATATCTTCTGACCAGTATTTCAGGAGATTCATTTTCGACCTGTATAAGCATTTTTATTTTTTTCTCCTTTTCTCGATTATCAAACTCTTTCAAAATTTATATTTAGCATTTATTCCTAACTCTTGATAATGTGAGATAGTTAATTATTTAAAATAAACCATATTATAGGTACTTTACAGGAAGACGTATATATGAACATTGGGCATTTAAGCCCTGTAAAGTGACGTAAATGACTATTGATTTCAAAGACTACTTAATTATACAATAATACACTGAGTTTAATCAAAGTCATTAGAGCCCTGTTTAAGAAAATTGTAAAAATGTGTTTCACCATTGAAATAAAGTGGCACTTCCTGTTACCGATTTTAAGGAAAAAGTTCCTGTCACATCTAAGGCATATACCTATATTAAAGATGTAATATTAATTTTGTACGACTTTTTGTTTTTGGGCTAGACTGTTAACATACACACACACAGACCATTTTGCAAGACTAGGTTATTTGATCTCAGCATACCTCAAAGCATGTATTTCCATTGAAAACTCAGATTTTAAAATTTTCACGATTGCAATATTTTTCCTTAATATACACTGACAGGCAAAAAATTCCACCCACTTGATTTTTTCATGTTTTCATCTAAAAATATTAATGAATAAATAGGTAATCTTTTTGTTTGTTTTCAATTAGGAATGCTAATACAGAGGACGATAACACTTAATCCTTAATTCAATGAAATGATTCTAGATTCCAATGTTTACTTTCTATGGAATCAAAATATTTATTCAGTATCGTTAGTTCTTACAATAGAAGGCCCAGTTCTGGACGGCCTAGGGTAACAGAACCACGGGATTACCGGTTTTTGACTTTGAGAATTTTATGAAACCGCCACCTTACCGTTGTTCAAGCGATTCATCAGCTCGAAGAAGTTCGAGGTATGCAAATTTCTGAACTTACCGCTCGGAGAAGATTAAATGAGTATGGATTAATGGCTTTTCGTCCAGTAAGAGGACCAGCGTTGATCAGAAATCACAGAGTAACACGGTTGGCTTTTGCTCGAGAACACAGCCATTGGACTATGGACGAATGGAGTGCTGTACTTTTTACAGATGAGTCAAGATTCGCTCTTCGATCTCCAGACAGGCGTGAAAGGATGTGGAGAAGAAGAAACGAAAGATATGCAGCCTGTAATTTTTTCCAGAGCCAACCTTTCCAAAATGGTTCCTTAATGGTGTGGGCTGGGATTTCAATGGAGCGCCGCACAGAATTGGTTGTTGTTCGTGGAGGGTCTTTGATGGTCATTCGCTATGTAGATGACTTAATTTGTATTTAAAAATCAATTTTTTGGAACCTCATGTTTTGCCTATCCTCAACAAAATCGGCGATCGTTCTATTCTAATCCATGCCCACATGTCATCCGCAGAGTGCAGACGTTCCTTCAACATAACAATATTGAGGTTTTAGCCTGGGCAGCACGTTCTCCAGATTTGAACCCCAATGAACACATATGGGATAACCTCGGAAGACTAATAAGAGTGCGTGCAACACTTCCTGATACACTGCAGGACCTTGAAAGGGCTCTTCAGGAGGAATGGACTATCCTCCAACAAAGGGACATTTCCCGACTGTTGGAAAGTATGCCGAGGCGTCTTCAAGAAGTAGTGAAGGCGAGAGGAGGAAACACGCGCTACTAAACGATGATGTAATTAATTTCTTTTAGAATAATACTGGTTCGTTTTTCAATTTTTTTTTTCTCTAATCTTTCTTACCCAATCACATTTTGATTATTTAAGGTAAAAAAGATTATAAAATTCCTTAAATACTAAGTATTATCTACAAATACCATGTATTATATACATACACAATTTTTTTTACAAGTCGCAGAAATAATTTTGATGAAAAAATCAAGTGGGTGGAATTTTTTGCCTGTCAGTGTATATTACATACATAGGAGGTAAGTGAAAGTAGAAATTAGCTAAGATTTGCAGTATGGCTTAATTTAATATTACGAATATGCCTAAATGTTTCTAATCAGTTATTTTTGGGAAAAGTCAGGAACTTTGGGGAAAATTCATGAAAAGGCGGAAATTATTTGAAAATTTCAATCACAAAATTTGGTAGACACGTCTTGGTACTGGTACTGGTAGGGAAAACTGACTTACTTAGTTATTCGCCATCTTCAAAAGGCTTGGGAAATAAAAATACACGTAACTCATGAGATAATTTCTTTTTTTTTTTTTTATCTCTGGCAGGAAGAAATTTGATTTATTTTATTTGGGTAGGTAATAAAATCTTGCATACTTTCCATTTAGTGTAATGCATTATCTAATTTTTTTGTTGACAAAGATCTTGATGACCCTTATTAATTATTATCATTATCCTCATTCTCATTCTTTCATATCCATTTGAATGACTTGGTTATTACATTTAAAATTCATTTCCAGTCTAACTATAAAGCAAGGAACATAACAAACATATTTTTTTACATTCTACTTTTACAGCTGGACTCAAATGAGTTGTCATAGTGCAGTATATAAAAAAAATTTGGTATGCTGTTGGGAAACATTAATATTCCATGCAAGTTTAATGTATTTCTTATTATTTCTCTTTTTAAAAGATGGCATGTTTGAGTTTGCACCATTTCAGATTGTAGTTGGTTAGCTTTTATATTTTATACTTGTGGATAGTAATATTTTCTTATTCTTTTTTAGTATATTGAATATGGCATACAATCTGAAGAGCCACCAGGGAGACCTCAGGGCCCAATTTTGCCAGGAGGAATATCTGCTGTAACTACGGCTTACAAAACCTTAACACAAACTACCTGTACTACAACCACCACTGTTGCAGTTACTAAGGCATCTACTACATCAGTTATTTCTTCTAGAGTAAGTTTATCTGAATAAAATATTCTGTTAAGATAGCCTCTGGCAATCACTCATCTCTATGCCAAAGATATGGGAGTTTAAAATCATTTGTGGAATTTTTGAAGTAATTGTAGCTGCTGGATTCTATTGGGTTGTCTGGAAAATAATGCAGGATTTTGGTTTAAAAAGAAAGATTTACAACTGTTTTATTTAATCAAAATAGTCTCCACTACCATCAATAAATTTCTGCCAAACCCGAGAGTAGGGCGGATGTGGCGAAGTTTCATATCCATGCTCCAACAGTTTTTGTGATGTCACATGTTTCCGGGTATTTTCATGCAATCAAATGGACTCCTTCTAATTCGCCAAATATGGCTTCATTATTGCCAATTTCTGATGCATTTTATTTATTTGGTTACAATACGATTCGGCATTGTTGGTTTCTCCAGGATTTAAGATGCTGTAGTGTATTAAACCAAATGAAGCTCACCAAACTGTAACCATCACCTTTTTTTGATGAGTTGGGAGCTTTGGAAAATGTCCTGCTGCTTCTCCTTTGTCAAGTCACTGTCCAGAACGTCTACTGTTATTGTAATGTATCAGTCCTTTTCAGTTACAATTCTGAAAAGAAAAGACTCATTTTTGTTTTGGGAAATAAATGGAGCACAAACCTCATAACACTTTTTTTGGCCGTCGTTTAATGTATGTGGAACCCAGATTTCAAGCTTTTTCACCTTTCCAATCGCCTTGAGGTGGTCGTCGACGTTAAGTCGTAAGGTTAAGTTTACCTGAAAGTTCTTGAACAGTTGTTCTGGGGTTTTCTTCCATCGAAGCCTGCAGAACATCTTCATCAAGAGAGGCAGTCCTTCCACGACCTTCTTTGCCTTCAAGGCTGAAGCCACTCTTCCGAAATTTTTCGAACCACCGTTGAACAGTGCACTCATTAAAGCTGCTCTCTTCTCAGACTTGATTGATATTTCTGGCCATCTGGGCCCCATTCCGGCCGAGTTGAAACTTGTTAAACACAATTTTTACCAAAATCACTCGTTGACATTTAAGTAAAGGCTGAATTATTTCTAAGCAGAGAAATGTCACAGAGGTAAACAAACATTATCGTTTGAAAGAGAATTAATAAGTGTTGACATTCATATAAATGAATAATCCAGTAAACGTAAATAGTTTTTTATATAGAGGGGTATTTTAAAGGAAACTCAAAATCCTCCATTATTTTCTGGACAACCCAATAGACTTGCAAAGTTAATCATTTCACTTCAAAATTCAATCACTCCAGCTGACCATGAGTAAAAAATTGGAGTGAAATGCTTGTCTGCACTCACAGTTGTTCCATTTGATATATAACGATTCTTTAATAGCCATTATAGTAATTATTTAAAATTATTAAATAATTATTTTAATTTAATTAATGAATTATAATAATGAACATCAGTGATTATATTATTAATGAATATTTTTTATTTATGTATTTTTTTTTTTTTAGCCCTCTATAGCTAATGCAACCAACATAGATACATTATTGGTGGCTACTGAAAAAGAAGAAAAAATGACTGCCCCTCCAGAAGCTTTACAGGATAAAGTTGCATTTATTTTTAATAATTTAAGTCAGTTAAACCTTCAGACCAAGGTTAGTATTTAAAAAACCACTCGTCCAGTCTTCATTATATTTTATTCATCTAGTAATTTTTTTTAATATTATTTATTATTAATATTTTAACTAACAATTGAACTTTTAGGAGCCATACCAAAGATTCATTCTATTGTGTGTTATTGACTATACATGGGGATTAGAGATTAATAACTCTTAAGATATATCATTGTTGGTTATCCTAAAACCTTAATTGACATTTAAGAAAGTAGTGGTATTCAAGGTGTCACAATATCAGGGCTTTAACATTTTAAAAAAAGTTCTAATGCATTTTTTTTGTTATCAAGTTCTAGTGTTATTTTAAAACTTTTATTTTTTATTTATTGAAGTTCTTAAGAAAAATTTCCATGAAAGGAGAAAGCAGTTACTAGCCATAGAATGCAGATTAAATTTATCTTGAATTAATTCCTGATTCTTATATTTATTTTGGCAAAATGACTTAAATTAATGGACTTAACTTTTTAAAAAAAAATTTCATTAAAAAAGATGTTAGAGGATAAAAAATTAATGAAAATTTAAAATAAATATTCTATTCATGTAAGGAATGACTTAAAATAGAAGTTACTTTTCAATTCAAACCCTTACTGGATGTTAGTGAGAAGCAGTAAAAAAAAAAATTAGTTTTGATTATCTATTAAAGCGCTAAGCTTGGAAAATCAGTGCTGATTCCGCTTTAGAATTTATCTTAAGCAACCTTACATACCTTTTCAACAGTCAGCTTGTCAAGATCTTTAATAAAAATCTTTGTCGGTTTAACTTAATACTTTCATTTAAGTATTGTGTCAAAGTATAGAAATAATAGTTTTATTTAAGTGTTATTTTTAAATAAAGCAACATCTACCATGTTCTTCATAGTTTCATAAAAGGTTTGAAATTGAAGTAATGAATACTTATAAACGTTTGATGATGAATACCTATTCCAAGAAAAGCTATTGAAACATTGTCTAACTTTATTTGTTAGATTTATAAACTATTGTATAATTTATTGATAATACTCTTTCAATTTTCAATTTTTTTCAGTGTGATGAATTACGAGAGATTGTTGGTGATGAATATCATGCTTGGATGGCCCAATATCTAGTCATGAAACGTGCGAGTATTGAACTGAACTTTCATGCATTATATTCTAATTTTTTGGATGTACTCAAGGCGAATGAGCTCAATAAATTAGTTCTTCAAGAAACATTTCGGAATATTAGGGTATTTTATTTAATTAGGTTCGTAATCAAATGGTAATTTTATCATTTTTATAATTACATAGATATTTTTTCAGGTACTCCTTAGATCTGATAAAGGAATAGCTAATTTCTCTGATAGATCACTCTTGAAAAATCTTGGGCATTGGCTTGGTATGCTAACTCTTGGTCGAAACAAACCTATATTGCATGATGATTTAGATTTAAAATCATTATTAGTTGAAGCATATAGTAAAGGTCAACAAGAACTTCTGTATGTTGTACCATTTGTGGCAAAAGTTTTAGAGTCATGCTCTAAAAGCCGAGTAAGTTTAGTGCTTTCATAATTTTTTAAAACTTTAATAGTATAATTACAAGCAATTTAGTATCTTTCTTTCTTTTTAGGTTTTTAAACCTCCGAATCCATGGACTATGGCCATTATGAATGTTCTTTCAGAATTACATCAAGAAGCTGATCTAAAACTTAATCTTAAATTTGAAATTGAAGTCTTATGTAAAAACTTATCTCTAGACGTAGCTGTAAGGACTTCATTAATTTTATTTCTTTATATTTTTTTTTAATTTAGAATAATTGATTTTTCTATTTAAAATATTTGATTGTCTACTATATTACAACTTTTTATCTATTATGAAATCTGCATGATTTTATTTTGTTTTCTGAGAGTCTGTTATGTGCATTAGAATGTATCACAATAACTTTTTTTTAGTTTAAAGTTTCAAGTAGATAAAAAGTAGCTAGATGGATTATCTATTTTACGTTTTTCAATAGCCTAGCACTTGCAATTTTATTGTATTTAATGAAAACACTCAAGTATGATTAAGCAAAAAATAAATAATTAATGGACCTTGTGAGGACTATTAAGTAATGAACAATCGTTTATACACGTTAATTAAATCATATATGCCAGAAAAGTTACAATATGGTGGTCTAATCGATTCAAATTCATCATATATTAATTCACATACAAGCTATAATTTAATTTTTGTACACACTTTTAATTTTAATTTTTATCGAATATTATAGCTGTTCTGTAAAACATTGGAATAACAGGTTCTGATTTCATTTTAACCTGTCATGTCTCGATTCCGACTAGGTCTGATGAGCGGGGTAGTATTGTAATTTACAAGGTTTTTATAGTTGAAGTAGTTAGTGAATGTATGAGGTATCTATTCTTTAAACAAAATTAAATTATTTATAAATTTTATAAAATAAATAAAAACAATATCATGATTTCGTGAGGAGATGAAAGGTTGAGAGTTTATTCTGTGTTATCAAAAATTCAAACTAATAAATATGTATTCACTTGCATGCTACATAATAAGAATATGACATAGTTCTTTGTTTTTAATCAGAATTAGAATCAGAATAAATATTTTTTTTAATTTAATTTTTATTTTACTTATACTTTTGCTTCCTCACTATCGAAGGTAGGGAAACATTCTGTTCGTTTTATGTTAAAAAATATTATGCTTAGAATCAAAATTTCCTCTCTGGTTTTATGTTTCAGACATCAAGGATCAAATTTGGTTCGGTGTCTGTCTGCCTGTAGTCAAATCGATGTAATGGGCAAATCACCTCTACTTTGTCTTATACTTGCGCAAACGTTTTTTCGTTTATACATCTATATCTCTAAAACGCATGTTCCCATTTGGCTCAAATTCGGAGGAAAGTTAGGGATTTGTTAACACATAATTAAGTGAATATAAATTTTATATATATCTATCCACTGCTCTAAAAAAAAAAAACTTCGCTTTCGGATCAGTAAATGTATTATTTGATGCGGCTAAATGTATTATATAGTCTGAAAACGGCTCGTTCATTTTGACTCAAACTTGGAGGAAATTCGGAGAACATTATAGAAATTTCATAGTATGGATTTCATTGAATTCCATTTAATAATTAAAATTAATATAAATAACTGTTAACAAGTATAATGGCTGTGAAATGTGGAAGGCGTTGATCATGTATTATGGGGGTTAGGTTAATACAATATTTTTGTGAGGTTATAAAATTGGTTTTATTCAAAAAGTTAATTTATACTGTATTGTTTGGTTGTTTCTAAATTTTACTAGCATGATGCTTAATGCCATTATTTAGATTTCGTGTAATTTTCAATCAATCGGACTGTGATAATTATCGAGGCATAGTGCTCCTCTCATATGCCTTTAAAGTTCGGTCTAACATACTATTTGAAATACTAGTTCCCCATGCCGAGAGGGAGATAGGCAAATATCAAGCAGTATTTAGGTGAGGGAGGTCCACATTGGACCGAATGTTCTCACTGAGGTTGATGCTGGAGAAATGCAAAGAGTATAGAACAGTTACCCACCACCTCTTCATTAATTTTAAAGCCGCCTACGATAGTGTAACTCGGCCGGAGCTCTATCAGGCCCTGTTGGAAATGAACGTCCCAATTGAACTGATATGGTTCATAAAAATGACAATGTCCGACTTGCAGTATGAGTAGGAAGTGACTTCTTGGAAGACTTTCATATTAACTACGGTAGGGAGATGCTCTTGCCTCTCTTCTTTTCAACCCTTCTTAACAGTGCCGTTCAGCTTCTTGGGTACGCTGACGACTTTGATATTGTCGCCAGATCGGAACGTGCATTAAGAGAGTCGTTCTTGTCCATAGAAGATGCAGCAAAGAAACTTGTCTATACATTAATGAAGCTAATACCAAGTATATGAGAGTCGGAGATGGGTCAGGGATTGGTTCTTTTGTGGCTGGAACATATAATTTCGAAAAGGTATGCAGCTTTGTCTACCTTGGGTCTAAGATCAACTCTGAAAACGACATCTGTAGAGAATTCAACAGAAGGATAGCAACGGCAAGACGTGGTCTCGATTTCATCCTTAAAGTTGTCAGAACTTCACTTATATTTTTATATTCCAGCACTAATTAGTTTTGTTCTGACTGAAGAAAATTATTGACCTTGTTAACTCCGGCCAAACAAAAAGTTGAATTATTCCTATGGATTTTTTGTTCCATCCATTTTACTTGTGAATACATAACTATTAAGTATATATAACTATTGTTAGTGCAAAAGGTGGTGTTTTCTAATTTTCAATTTTATTCTATATTTGGCATTTTGTAGTCTGTAACTGATATAAGTAGTCTACTACAATGGAAAATATTAGAGAGCAATAAAATATGAAACTTTACTAATAAATCAAGAAGAAATTATGAGCTTTTATGCTCTCCTGTAAAACACTCAATTTTGACATACGTTCTTTTGCACTAACAGAATAATATGCATGTTCAGTATGTTCTGCAATTTTTTTTTTTAAATCACGAATTATCAAATATGCAATCTGCAAATGTGGATCTGTATTGCATTTTAGTATTCGCTAATGAACAAAATTCATGGTTATCAAACACGTATATGTTGAGGAATTACTGAATTTCCGAAAAGGGCTTCTCCCAGAGATTTTATTTTCATATGAAAAATTTAGATCTTGTAATAAATATATTTTGTAGCTAATGAAAATGGTGAGGAAGCTATACTGACCTTACTTGGCAGACTTTTTTTTTTTACTTCTAATTACACATAAGTAAAAATATTGTAACTAATTTATATATCATATATTAAAAATATGATGGAATTTTGGTTTAATTAATAGGAATTTGTAAAATCTGTAAAAAAAATAATGAGTAACAAATCATTTAAGGGTGATGTAAATATTTATTTAAATAAGCTGTATGCTTACAAACAAATTTTTTTGAGGACCATGATCATTTCTTAATGGGTGAGGAAGACAACCATAACCATTGGCTCCTTCAGAGCATTGTTAAGATTTATTTTATAATAAGAATTACAAAAATTGTTAGAGATAAAAGTTACAAAATCGAGAAACAAGAAATAAGGTAACTTTAATTTAAAATAAAGATTAGTTTTCACTAAAAAGGTCAATAATAAATTCTGATATCATGCTCTAAATTATAATGTTTTACAATATGTATCACCATTCCCATTTATTAGTCATAATAGTGAAAAAATACTAATAACTGTAATAATAATTATAAAAGGAAGAAAAAAGTTAAAATTCAGGTCTCCGTAAGGGCCCGTCCGAAGAGTAGACACATTAGTAGTGGGGGTACTAGAGCACTTTTCCATCCCTCTACCTGCTAATGGAAGGCACCTCTTGTTCATTATATACTACTCTTAGGCAAGGAGATGTACTCTCATCGGTGGTCAATTTCTAATCCTTCTTTTTGTTATCCAATCATCTTGACTCTACAAACTTCTCTTGCAGTTTCAATTATGACATTTTTCAGGCACATCCAGTTATACATTTAAAGTTTGTTTTGTACGAATGTTAACCTGTCTCTCTTGTTTGAGCTCTTCTTGATTCTTCTTTTCATCATTTTCTAAACTATCTAAATTTTGTTTTTATTTCTCTTAATCTCAAACTAAATTAATCCATTATAACTATACATAAAAGTTATTTTTTATTTTCTTGTTCCAGGAATTACAACCTAAAGTATATTTAAAAGACCCAGAAAATTTAAAGCATCTGGAGCATCAACTTTCACCTCCCAAAATTAAAAGTGAAACACAAGCTACTACACCCATTACTCCATCTCAAACACCCACGCAGCAGCAGCAGCAACAGTCACAGCAGCAGCAGCAACAGTTACAGCAACCACAACCACAGCCTCAGCAACCCCCTCACCCAGGTAAAGGCTAGTATTTTAACTTAATCTAGATCTATCTGTTTAATCCAATGTACCGGATGCCCTGTTTCATTCCACATTTGATTATAATGCGGAAATCTCAGAATGTGCAGAAAGAGTGGTAGTGGATCAGGGCCATCGAAATATGAGAGCTTCTACAATAGTCGCTACGAGAAAATTCTTTTGAAGAATGGGCCAACTGCAGGTGGCAAGGCATTAGAGTTTGGAATTTTAAAGAAACCCCGAAAGCTAATAAATACATATGCCAAAAGCGCTTCCGGGACCAGAATGATTCAACGCCTTAAAACTCAACATCAACTACACATCTTTGCGTGGAGTCCCAGGAGCCAATGGACAGTCAAAGGAAGTTGGGTCCATCTCTCGTCCAGAGAGTCTGAAACACAAGCCCATGTGCTGAGAAAATGCCCTCCAATAACTCCCTTCTCATAAGACGCTGGCACCATAGAGTCAAGTTTGAATTGGTGAGGCTCCTTAGAGAAAGGGAATTCACCTGCTTCGACGAGGTCTATTGTATCAGCAGTAAAGGTTTAACCAGGTATGCGTACATTGTTGCATTTCCCAAGACAGGAAAGACAGCTCTGATGTTCGATCCAACTGTCTTCTTTGAGAGCCATGACCTTGATCAGCTGGATGAAGTAGAAAGAAAAAAGGAAAACATATAAGATAAATGTATCCCTTTCCTAAAAGAGAAGTTCCATGAGATCTTCCAAGAGAGAGAGTTCTCGTGGAACGATTCCAAAAAGAACAAGGAACTTCCTCGAGGAACTAGGTGTTGATGTTGGGGAGCTTGCGATATTGGCCAAGAATATTTTCTGGACTCCTTAGGGATCATCCACTATCACTTGTATAGGAATTGATTGTGAATCTGAACTCCCTTTGTCATTTATCTAATTTTAATTTTTTTAACTTAGTCTTATATTTTTGTCTATATTCAAGAAATTGTGTTGATATATGTGTGCGATTTAGTCTTGTATTTCTAGCATTCAAATAGTTTTTTTTTCTCATAAAATATATGTATTTCATAATGGTAATTGTTTAATGTGGTATTGTTAATGATATGGTATATGGACTAGTGTTGTGAATAAGGATAAAAAAAAAAAAAATGATATGTTTATATAATAATGGAATAGTATGATGTAAGAGCTACGTCCATCTGGATTGATCAGTATGCTGTGTAAAAAGCAACCCTACATAGTAGGGGAGCACTACTTTCAATAAAGCATTTCTCTCTCTATTATCTTGAGCTGGTTAATCTCTTTTAGTTAATTTTTTTAGTGATTAAGTTAAATGATATTTCATGTGTTTTCTCTTCAATTCATTATTATTAAACCTAGCATTAATGGAGTAAGATATATGTGGGTGTGCTACTTAGACATTTTATTTCAGTACCCTTTTGATTTGGTGTGGATCTGTTATCTTCCAGTGCCTTCCTCTGGTAGTTGGGCACTCATTCATGAATTTGGTTTTATCAAAATTTATCATTAGGCGTATGTTTATCACTGATTTTTCCAGTGCTTCAAAAGTCTCTTTCACTGTGTTAAGGAGGTCTTCCCGCAAGATCCAAGTCATCTGCAAATCCCAAAGCTTGGATTGATTTGTTTGGTAGGATTTCTTCTGTCTGAATCTCCAAAGCTATAATTACTTTTTCAAGGAAAAAGTTGCGATATGAGACAGGCTAGGTCATCGTCTTGTCTAACTCTTGACTCAGTTTTAAAATTTCTTGACAGTTATCTAGATTTCCTTACTAAGCATATATTATCCATGATTGTCATTTTCACTAAACAAATTAGTTTAGTAGGGATCTTTAATTCTAGTATTGTCTTGTATACTTCTCTGTTAACAAAGTTGTTGTTTAGTTTAAGTTAGAATTAGAGTTAGAACAAAAGCTTGTTTGAAATCTACAAACAACATGAGTTGCGATCTGAAACTCTCTAGTTTTCTCCATTAAGCAATCCTTACACGATCATTCATGAATGAAAGTCACAAGAATGACGAAGGATTGCTTTGATCATGAAGACACCTACACGTTCAATCATTACTGACCGCTTTAGTTCAGTTGACATTGAGATAACAGGCAGCATGGTTCTGGTGGATTGTCCATTTATAATAATGTTTTTAATTTAAAAAGCTTATTTGGACATTATCTTTTATAGTACTGGACATCAAAAGAAAAATGAAGATATAATAATTACTTCCTAGTGCCTGAAAATAGTTCAGAATATTTAAAGAAAAAATAGTTGAAAATGGTTTATAAACATATAAACTAGGGATATAAAAAATTATTTACTTCATTTAAAAATCAGGAATGTACAATGGTTGTGAGGCCTAGGTAAACTAACCTATCTAGTTAGTAAGGTTAGTCTCATAGAAAATCGGTTTAACAAAAGTATATTCCCTCCCACATAAATAAATCCTTTGAACGTTTCTTCCTATCCATCAACATTACCTTCTGGAATTCCTTACCATCTAACATCTGTCATGCCTTTTCCCTATCATCATTCAAATATCTCTTTTTCCAATATCTCCTTACATCCCAAACAGACGACCTGCAAATTTAAATTTTCTTTTCATGAATTTAATTTAATTTTTCACATTACAACCAAAACTATTCTTGTAAGGATTTTATTTTTTAGTTGTTTACATATTATTATTATTATTATTTAGATTACTTTATATATTGTTAGAATTTTTATAGAGTTATTTTTTTGGCCAGATATGTATTTGTATTTGTTCATTTTTATACTGGGGGGGACTTCGTACCTGAATAAATTTTACTTGTCTATGCTATTTTATTTTATTCTATACATTGTGATATCATAGCAGAAAACCGGGTGTAATGACACTCATCAACGAACAACTTTTACTGTTGAACTTAATAATAAAGGCTGTTCTTAACTTATGATTTGTTGATCAATTTTATGAATCGTACTCTCAAATTAGTTCTAAATTTATTGAAGCTTAATTAATTATGACTTTAAGGACTTATATTTTCATTCAAGAGGATGATAAACATCCATTTTTATCAGTTTCAATTATGAAAATCCTGATAAAAATTACTTTATGAGGTAACTCTACATTTCCAAAATTAATAGCACATATTCATATCATAAGATGATTGCATTTGTTGAATAATGTAATATCTATTATTTAATTTCAGTTAACTTGGAATTATTAAATATTACACGTTTACTACTCATATTACACGTATTGAAAGAGAAACTCTTGTTTGAATAATGTTATATCTAGCGGTTATTTTGAGTTAACTTGGAGTCATTAAATATATAATATAATGCTTTATACCACAAGGAAATTTGTGGCCTCCTTAAGTCACCTGCAATCACGATGAATACAGCCTCCAAGTGTTTTTGCATGATCTTCATTAATTTAGTGCCAGAATTAATTTTCATTTTATTATTTAGGTTTAAAAAAATTGAAATTACTTGAATTAAGTTGAATATATGTGTGTGATTTATATTTATTTATAAATAAAACATCAACAGTTAAATATAAAAAAATGATTGGTGCCTCTATTATCAATTTCTAATCTTACTGCGGTCTCTAATGATAAAAAAATTCACCACCTATGCCTTATATACACATATGAAATTTATTTAAAGTGAAATTGTGTTTGTTTTCCTCACTTTGTTTCTAATTATGTTTAATGCAACTTGGTAAGAGCATCAAATTAGTAGAGGTATACCGTAGTTTAGTAATAATAAATATTTACATATCACATTTTATTTCAGTGGAAGACATGACTCCCAGAATGACCAATAGTACACCAACTCTAGCTATCCTTAGTCCGCCAGAACCTAGATTCAATTATATGCAAATAAATGTATCGTCAACAGCAAGTATTGCCCAGCATATCACTGTAAATTCTCAGGTAATTATGGTTTTATTTTTAACACAATCATGTTATTTATGTTCAAAGGAAAAAATGATAATTTATTTTTTACAACCAACTTCAAGCAATAAACATAAATTTTATTGTACTTAATGCATATGATAAAAACTATATAGATAAAAAGTGAGAAATATTTTTCTAAGATTGAGAACAAATGTATGTAATTAAAAATAGTTAATACTTCAGAAATATAACAGACAGTTTGGAAGTTTAAGTGTTTAGAAAGAAAGGAGTTCTACTTTATGTTTATTTCGTACAATGTAATACAGGAAAAAAAAACCACTATAATCAATGAATGGTCTTGGGTTTAGTACTATTTAGGGAAAGTACTGTTTCTTAGTCTACAGTTGTGCAAGGAGGTGATTTGACCGAGATTATGCTGAACCGCCAGGTTTTCCTTCTTAATTAAGGGTATCCACTTTATGGAGGATGGGATCACAGGAAGGTCTCCGGATCTCAGGAATGATCCACGGCTGATAAACAGAATAAATAATTTATCTGCCATAACCCAGGATTTGTATCTGGGACCTTGAGCATTGAAAGCTCAGGATCTCACTCCCCAAAATATAATTAATAGTGTTTAAAAACTTATACATTTAACAGATTATTTGGGTGGGAAAAATATATGGTAATAAATTGTTTTAAATAAATATGTTTTATCATCTACTATTTTTACTTTTAATTACCTATAAATGAAAAATTCTATTTCTACTCAAATGAGGATGGTAAGTGAAAGTTTTGTGATGTGTATATATGCCTAACAATGAGGTTTATTGAAATAATAATCAGCTCATTAATTTGTGTACACAAATGAAAGAATGTAAAACACAATGGGAGAATTTTATTCCTTTTTTACTCTTTTTACCTTTCTTGAGCTAAACCTCACGGCCTAAGTTCAACCTAAAAAATTCTCCCTCATGTTTGCTTATACATAAATATTATGCTCTGGGATGCTCATCCCCCAAGCCTGATGGTGCATAAAAAATATGTATTTATATGAGATGTTATATCAATGTTCGTTTAAAAGATAGTAGATATAATATAGTTTTGTTTCTTGAGGATATTAAAGGCACAATACATAAGGCAAATATATCAGATCCAGGAGATGTTGGGGTTAAGTATTTTTATCAAGAAATCTGGAGGACTCTGTTGGGGAGTAGGCAGTCTAGACAGCTTGTTGAGTAATACTAGGATATCCATGGTCATTTTTGTCAGAAAAGATTTGACAAAGAGGTTCCAGCTAAGTAGACTTCTAATTAAAAACTGTGGAAATGGGAGCTAGTGAAAGTTGGAGAGTTAAAGCAGTGCTGGCCTTGGGACGGGTCAACTGAGGAAATCGTCCAGGGACACCGGCCGATCTTCTGGGACGCTCACCAATTGTTATAAATTAAAAAAAAATAACAAACGTTTGAGTGTTTGAATCTGCACCTAGAATGAGATATTGTACTGAGGAATTGAGAAGGAAACTGAACTATATATATTGGATATGGATTGGTTAGGAGGTTAATATGTTGAGCATGTGTGAGTGAATAACAGCTAGTCTTGATTAATACGGTGGTGGCTTTTAGGAAATCATGAATAGGCTAGGGAGAAAACGATGATAAAGAGGCTGATGAACAATGAGAGCCAGACCGGCATGTGCTTTCCCGTAAGGTTCGTCACTTCAGTATCCCAAGTATTGCCGTATTTTAAAAAAATGTTTAAAGATTAGTCAAATTCAAATCAACGATTTTGTCAAGTAATAAGGTTTAGAAAGTTAGTTAGTTAGTATGATTTTTAATATCATTCACATTTATTAGGAGAATAGATATGGATTTCTCTAAAGTTATTTAAGGATTGTTTAAAGATGGGACAGAGTGGAATACTTAATTAACGGGTGTGATATCTAAAGAGGAACAAGGGATTTGAATACAGAGAAGATTTTAATAAACTGGTATCTGTGATATTTGAGTTGAGGATTAGGCATATTTTGAATAATAGGATGTTGAGTTTAAAGCTGAGGTGTGTTATATGTAGTGGCAGAGCTTCATGTATATTGTTTTTGCCTCCACCTCCGACTAATTGTGTCAACGACACTGCTAAGTCCACGATGTTATGAAATTCTCTCCTTGATCAGATTTTATTTATTTATTTTAACTTTGCACCGGAATATCTGTTTTTTACCCCTGGCTCTTCTTTACTTTCTTTAAAACATTTGTTTGTTGAAAAATAGGATGAAATTTTTAGATATTATATTACAATGTGTTTTATAGGATTTGGACCTTTCCATTTTTATATAATTGTAAACATTAGTGGAATATACAAATGTACTTAAGATGACTTTCATGGTTTTTATCTGCATCCTCTGATTAATCCTCCTGTCCCGAACATCTACAAACCACCATCTGATGTGGGAGAATTACGTACGCGCCTACTAAACTCTAGCTGGCCCATACAGACCTGAGAACATGTCTCACTTATTGCTATGTCAGTTATGGTGGATAACCAACAAACCCCAACCAAATTCAAAAAACCAACAGTATGTATATATATTGTAACATTCCTCTTATATTTTACAAATAATAATATAACCTTGGAAGACATCTCTATACCTTTAGGATACTTCCTAAATAAATTAGAGGTTATTAAATAATAAACAAAATTATAAGAGTATTGATATATTAAATTAAAATTTGTAATTATTTTATCTCAAAGTATGGGTTATTGACAATCAGATTAAATCACTCAGACAAACTAACATTATCTACACTAAACACGGTTTGATTTTAAAATAAAGTCAAGTATGAATTGACAAGCTAACCTTTTTTGCTATATATACTGTTTCTTCTTTTCTTGTACTAAATTCATTTGTCTTCAAATGCTTTCCAATGTTCTGCCAAACACAATTTCCAAAATAGTGACACTTTCTTCTACTCAACTCAAGCTCCCTGGGAGATACTCTCTCTTGTACTTCCCAACAACAACTTCCAAGGTGGTAATCTATTACTGGGTTTTACCCGCTGGAGCCAGGATCCCTTCTCCTACCCTTCACTACAGTCACACACAACTACTTGCCAAAAAAAAAAAACCTTTGTCCCTCTCCTCTTTGGAATTTTCCTTCTTGGGAAACTACAGAGCAGCCATTTTCTTTTCCCTGCACTAGTAGAACTAGATTAGCTTGCCTTTTAATTGTTCAACATTAATTTATTAAACCCTTTTTCTCACTTCCAATAAATGTATATATATATATATATATATATATATATATATAACAATTAATTTTTTTTAAACTAATATTGTAAATATCTACATATATTCTGAATTGTAAAATGTAACATGAACTACATATAGTGTGCCTAGTTACCATAGTTGCATATAGTTGCATGGAGCATGTAATACTTATTTAATAAACTCTCTTTGGGGTTACCATAGAAGGAAAACAGTAAAGAAAAAAAAAAATATATATATGTATATATATATATATATATATATATATATATATATATATATATATATATATATATATATATATATATATATATGGGTTTTTTTTTCTCTGCTTTAGTAACCCTACAGAAGAGGCGTATACATCGTGCAAAACCATATTATATTATATGCATTACTCTGTTATTCAAACAGGGTGGCGACCGAACTGGAAAACCTGAAAAGTCAGGGAATTTTTTTAATTCGACAATATTCTTTTTAAATTGGAATTAATACACAGTGGATTAAGATAACGACCTTAAGAGACCTGGTAAATTTCATTGTTATAATGTATAATTGTTATAGACGACCAAACCATTTTCATATTTATATCGTTATATAACCTATATCTATCCACTTGTCACTGTCAATAACAGCCCTGGCCGTTATATTGGAATTAAACTAGAGTAGTGAACAAAATGTAAGCAAAATGGAGTTAAAACGTTGCTTTTTAAAAAAGAAAAATATAACAATACTATTTACTATCTGTAAGTACACATCTATTCGTTGGTTAACTAAAGGAGAACGGTGGCAGCTTCACATAATTCATTCTTAGGTAGAGTCGTAATATGGGAATAAGCAAAATGACCTCTCGGACTTAGAAACTCATTTTGGTCCTTAATTTTGTGACGATTGTTATGCATATCAACAGAATATATAAAAGCTATTTAATATGTTTATACATCCTAGTTCTGTTATAAAATAGTTAAGTTAGCCAGAAATAAAGCATTGAAAAGATAAAAAGCACTTAGTTTGTGAACGACAGATACTATAAGGGAAATACGACTTCGATTCTCTGAGCTTTAATAGCTGTTTAATCTTCTTACATATTAACGTGTCTGTATAAGGTTCATACGAAACTCAATGCTCTTTCAAATTGATTTTATTGAATTTCTTCGATACCTGCATAGATTATGAGTTTTGGTGGAAAACCGACAAAAATAGATTTTTCTTGTGAAAAATGCAAACAGTCAATATTCTCTTACTGCTCACCTGTTAGCCCTACATCAAAAAGCTATGCATACAATTGATAGTAAATTTTATCTTCTTTAACGTTGTGTATAATAATTTCGATAAAATGCACAGTTTCGGAGTCATGTCCAAAAAACTAAAAAAAGTTCAGAAATTTTTATGTTTTTGCGTATATCTCAATACGCACTGGAACATTTCATTCGGAAACGTCAGATTCAGATCAATATCCAAAAAACCAAACATAAAAAACCGAGTATTTGAATTATTTTTTCAACCAACAACTATCGAACTGCCCTAATTTGATGACTTTGACGTCGTTGGTCAAGGTGTATTCTTTTAGGAACATATTCTTTACGTCATATCAAAATTTCAGCGTTCAGTTTTTCCGTTAAATAGACCGTCAAATTTCGCCTCGTTAATTTAAATTTTCGTATAGAAAGCAAGTTTTCAACTGACTGAACGAAGTCGTGTGTTTAGATGATGTTTATCTAGAATTTAAAATGGTTAGTAGCTATTTGTCTGTAGCTCCTTGTCTAATAGCGGAATATTGAGGAGAACCAATTTTGTCGTGAGTAGATAGGTAGTCGTTGTTTTTTGGATATAACTGATTCAGCATGTCCTCCATCAGATTTGTAATTTTTTTAAATTGTAAGATTTATGTTGAATTTTTGAGCCAAGATATTATTAGACTCCTTAGTCTCCAGTCGGCAACATCTATAGAATTTTTCTCATATCTAGAACTTTTTGTCTTTGTTATTCTTATTAAACTACTAAACATGAATAGTAATTTAACACTAAGAGTGGGAATGAAATTGGCCCTATAAATGTGATTCTTACAAAGAGAACGAATGAAATAAAATATTTCCCCAATAAGTGAGATAGAAGGTTCGTAGGAGTTCAAATGTCGCTTATACGATTATTTTTTCTAAAAACTCTAAGAAATCGAGTCAGTAAATCCAATCGCTATATCCATTCATCTTCATGGTAAAATGTAACCATGTTTTATGGTAAAAAATATAAAAAAATTATGCCTTAAAGTATGATTGCTCGTTTAATTACATTTAATAGGGCTTCAAGAATCACTTAAACAGCATTTCATATAGGTAGTTAGTCTCTATCTGTTTTTCCAAGTAATTATCGTTATACATATGAAAAAAAAAAGCTTCCGCGCTGAAGTTCCCCCCAAAGCTAAATCCTGGATCCGCTAATGTCCACAGGTGCTTCATATGCAGCCTAGGAGGCTGTCCTTTTTCATAAGAGTGAAGGGAGGAGTATGAAAGACCAGTGACATCCGCTAGTCGATTTACTGTCAGCTTTATAGGGCTACTGTTCATTCACATGTACTTATAAGGAAAGAATACATTAGTAACTGATTATATATTTCTGAAATGGATGCTGCATTTATAGGATCCATCTGCTCGATTAGTGTGTTGGAGCCTCCCGTTAGTGGAATGTAACTAATGATGTCATTCATAGACCCGAAATAAATACATCACCAAAATGCTGGTGGTCTCAACAGAGGAGGCCCTGATATTGATTATAAGTTTCTTGATGGAGTGTCTTTTTTTTTTTTTTTACTAGAATATGTAAGGATATTTGATATTACAACATTATGACAAAATACATGAAGAAAATACAGATAGCTGACCTGACAAAGGTTAATGTTATTGGGTGGACAATCAATCTGATCCTTAAACATGAAAAATAATGGTCCCAGTGTTCTTGGCTAATTTAACTCATTAAAGAAAATGACGATTCTTGTTGACGGGTCATCCAGGTTAGATTTGCATGGCAGTGGGAATTCTGGAAAGGTTATATTGGTCAGGCTTGTTTGGTGATATATTCCCCATTTGCTGTTCTTATTATATGGTTAAAACCCTTAGAGAGTTAGGTCTTCTTCTGGGTCCGCTGTTAGAAGAAGCTTTACCTTTGAATTGATATCAGAATATATAGCTGGTGCATCCGGTCCATGCACAAAGGGTAACAGTATTTCCTAATATCTGTAGATAAATTAAACAGATATTTAGAAAATATAGCACATGAAATGGTGGAGGTATACATGAAGAGTTTTGTTTTGGGGCATGAGACCCCAAAAAAATTCTCATAGACGGTTATAAATTTCTTGTTGAGCTTGTTTAAGGAAAACTGTCAATTATTAGAAATATTAACTATCTAGCTATGGCCTATCATTTGGTAGGATGTAGATTAATTGAATGCTTCTACGGAACATTGTGCAAGTCAGGCACCTATTATAGGAAACTACACAGCTGGTTGGGATTAATGATATAACGTGGTCCACAAAGCACTGAAGTGTAAACAAAATTGTAATTTCTAAATGACCTTGCTCTCGCATATCCACCAGGCTTATTTACATAAATATGTAAAACTTATAGTTTTAAAATGTTTAAAGTTCTTTGTGACTTATAGTTTTAAAATGGTTAAAGTTTTTGTGACTTGTAAAAATACATCTCATCTATGTTAATCGTATATTTTATTTTTTGTGATAGAAGCAATATTTTACTAACGAATAATTAAGTATCTGTTTGTTGTTACAGCTTCCTTTGTTACAAGCCCATCCAAAATTGAAACAGTTTATTTGTCAAGCTGTTGAAAGGGCTGTTCAGGAGTGGATTATTCCTGTGGTTGATCGTGCTGTAAAAATTGCTGTTACTACTACTGAACAGATAATAAAGAAGGTATTGAAATTATATTACACCCTGATTATATATTGGTGGAAAAATTAAGCCACTGTTGAATTTGAGTAACAATTAACCTCCAGAGCATTTAAAAGTCTGATTATTAGATTTTAGTACTGTGAATGTAAGTTTAGTCCTTTTTAAGTCATTTATTTCTGAGTAATTTTTGCTTCCTCACTACCAAGGTGGCGGCCCTATCTCCCAGTCGTCAAACTGCAAACAGCCACTGGCCTTCCAGATTGGGGGAGCAGTACTCTGACACACACTCAGTACACTAATTACAGCACACTACCCACACCCCCACACTACAGACAAAGGTCACATACACAATATACCTTAGGGTCACCTCCCCTAGGAAGCCGCCCCGGATGGAGAAGCAAGTCAGGATGTTTAGAGGAGGCTGAAAGGGCTAATAACACACTCCTTAAACCAAAAGTATTATGAACCCTCAAAGGAAATATAGCCGGACTGATTTAGGGAGACGACATAGGCATGGAAAAGGAACTGATCTCAAAAAAGCGACTTGGAATGTAAGAGGACTAAAGCAATCAGGGAAAAGCATGAATCTAGAATTGGAACTGGATAAATATAACATGGATATCATGGCAATTCAGGAGAGCAAATGGAAGAATATAGAGATTCAGGATCTGAGCAGATACACAATGATGAATAGTGGAGATAAAAACAATGTTTTTGGAACAGGTTCCATGATAAGAAAGTCATTAAAAAGCATGCTTTAATAGATTATAAGTTAATAAACAAGAGAATGTGTAAGATAAGGATGAAGGGGAAGTTCTGTAATGTATCCTTGTAATGTATTATTGTACATGCCCCAACTGAAGAAAAGGAAGAGGAGGTTAAAGACGACTTCTATAGGATCCTAACAAATGAATTGGAAGAAATTCCTGGATATGATGTAAAAATAATTCTGGGCAATTTTAATGCCAAAGTGGGCAAAGAAGTTTTTAAACCAACCATTGGTATGCAAAGCAAACACCAGGACTCCAATGACAACGGGCTAAGATTAAGAGACTTTGCTACAGAAAATGGTTTCGCATTTTAAGCACAAGGAAATCCACAAAGAAACTTGGATATCAGCAGATGGTAACACTAAAAACCAAATAGACCATATAATGGTACACAAAAGATATGCATCCAGCATTGAAGATGTACGTAGTTATAGAGGTGCTGACTGTGACACAGATCACTACCTTGTAAAATCTTCCTTCAAATATAAAATATCGCTGCGATCTGGAACAATGGTTGGAAAGCTACATGGCTTTAATGTGATTAAACTGAAGGAAGAGGAATGTAGTAAAAAATTTGCACAGAAAGTAACCGACAAACTAATAGATGTTCTGACCAATTAAATAGCAATGATATTGACACCAGGTAGAATGCTATCAAAACTAGCTTGGTAAAAGCAGCAGATGAAGTATTAGGAAAGATAAATAAAGATAATAAGTGTGGTTGGTTTGATGTGGAATGCCATCAAGCCCTGAGAGCAAAGAAAGAGGCACGGATGAAAATGCTACAAAGACTGACTAGAGGAGGAATGCCAAAAAATCTTCCGTCATAAAAAAAGAACGTGGCTAAATATGCAGTTAGTGGAGCTCCAGAATGATCACATCTCAAAGAACTCTAAAAAGAGTCTTCCAATCAAATATCTCTTACTGTAACACAAAAGAAGGGGCCATCATAGTTGAGCCTGCTATTTCAGGGAAATTCTTGTAGAACCCAAACACCAAGACGGAGACGAAAGAATCAAGCTGCTGAAATGCCGACTGGGTGAGATGAAGAAGTAGAGCCGCCTGAACAGAAAGAAGTTGAAGAAATCATTGGCGAATTGAGGAACAATAAGGCTCCTGATATTGATGGCATACATTCAGAAATACTCAAAAATGGAGGGGATGATTTAAAAAGATATATATTCCAATTGATGTGGGATGTTTGGTTTGAAGAGAGAATGCCTGAAGAGTGGAAAATAGCAGCGATATGCCCCATTCATAAGGTCCTTGTTGGACCGTAGCGCCCAGCAGTAAGTAAGTAAACTTCTATTTATCCAATTTTCAGGGAATGTGCAGGTTGGTGCCTAGATGGTTCTATGTCAGTTTCATTAAATTCCATCCAATATTTTCACTTGTCCATGTGTAAATGTATGTTCTTAGATATGCCTATATTTCAGAAATATAGGCTCGTTCAATTTGGCTTAAAGTTGGTAGAAAGGTGGGCATTAGAAAAAAAAAATTCGATATCGATTTTATTAAATTTCATCCACTACTTTCTCTTAAATAAGTGCAAACATATTTTCCTTGATACATCTCAATCTCAAATACGAGGCATTTGATTTGGCCGAAAGTAGGGATTAAGTTAGAGATTGATGAACAAATGATGAAGTAGGTATCAGTTTCATGAAATTCTACTCACTACTTTCTAAAAATACTTCTGCTTTCGAATCTCCAAATGGATTGTTTTTAGACAAGTCTTATAAAAACAGTTTGTTCGATTTGATCGATGTGGAGGAAAGTTGTTCATTCAACACTTAAAATGAATTAAAATGACTGTTTAGAATATATTGGCTGTGAAATAAGGAAGTTAATGATCAAGTGGAAAGGGAGGTTGTATCTATAGCACTATTTTATGAGGGTATAAAATTTTATACCCTCAAAAAGTTAATTTAAACTGTATTATTTTATCGATTAGCTATTATTGGCTTAACACCAACTATCATTTCTTAGATTTCATGTAATTTTCAGTAATTAGAGGGTCAAAACTTGTCTTAACATCAGAAATAGATTTTTGCTAAACATGATCATCATATTTAGATTGTGGTTCAGAACCATAAGAGATTATGTATGAGATGGTTGAAGAGGCTACATTTTGAATTCTGAAATAAATCTGATCATGCATTTTAGTTGTGATAATAACGTTCATTATTTTTGAAGTTTTTTATTTGATAATTTATTTAGAATTTTTCTCATTTTAGTAAATAATGTTGCTTAACACATTGATTGCCCACCTTCAAGATATTTTGTAGTTTGTTTATATGCCATATTTTTTCATCCATGATGAAGTTTGTAGTGCTTTTTGAAGAATACTATATTTTAAAATTAGAGTTTTTAACTATATGAGTAAATTATGTAGGCTGTTTATATTGAAATCCTTAAAATCACCAGGGGTAATCAAAATATTAAATATATCTAAAATATTAAATTAAATTAAAAAATAGAAAATCACTTTCAGGTGGTGTATTAATTTTGTCCATCATTATGTTTTAATTCACAACAAACACTTATTTTTAATGGTATTTGTGGATTGGACTTCTTAACAAGTGTGCTTTTAGGATTTTGCATTGGAACCAGAAGAAACAAGGATGCGTCAGGCGGCTCATCATATGGTGCGGAATTTAACTGCAGGAATGGCCATGATAACTTGTCGAGATCAACTTCTAGTGTCTATCAGCAACAACTTGAAGAATAGCTTTCTTGGTTCTTTACATGTAAGTACTAGAAACATAAAAAAGTTATTAAGTTTTTCCTTCAAAACATGCTTACAATATTTAATAAAAAAATATTCTTTGGGGTTTAATGAAGCATACTTTAAAGAAGAAGGGAGAAGAGGGGTTAATTCAGCACCAAATATTAATATTTCATTAGTTCTATAACTCCAAATGATTAATACCTATCAATGTTTATTACTTTTAAAAACTACCTTCTTCCCTAGAGAGCTGACCTCTAAAACTGAAACTTTAAAGTGGTTTATATGAATTGATATTTAATACAAATAAATGTTTAATATACAAACTGCATAGTGGGTAATTAAAGACGAAATAGATGGTATAAGGTCGAGTATAATCCGATCCTGTTTAGATTTTGTTTTTGTAAAAATTACTTTAAAATGATCATTTTGTGTATAATAACACTTATTAACCAATTAAGTTTTGGTTCTATTGAGCTTTATCTATATCTCAATTTGAAATTTATCATGGCTCATAACTTGGTGACCAAGTCTTACGTTCTTGATGAATGGAGGAATTACTTCAACAATCTAATCAACTATAGCGAAGAAGGTACTTGTGATGAAGTAAGAACTCAAATGATGAAAAGGGAATCAATAGGATAGAAGAACAAAAAACTAAAAAATAATAAGACCCCTGGTGCTGATGCACTCCCTTTTTAACTCCTTTATTGTGGAAATGAGCTTACCAAACAAAGCACTGTAGGATCTTTTCCTTGTAATATGAACATATGAGGTGATGTCGTTTGTTTAGAATAGGTCAATTATATGTCTTATACATAAAAAGGGTGATAAGTTGCTGTGCAACTATTACCAAGATGTCTCGTTACTATCCTGTGTCTGTAAGATACTGCCTTGTATTCTATTCAGACGTCTCTTACCATACACCGAGTGTGAACTTGATCAATACCAGACTGGATTTAAAAAAGTTAGACCCATCTCAGACTAGATGTTCTGTGTGCAAACCATTCTTCAAAGAGGTTATAAATATAAAACCAAAACACCATTTTTATATAGATTTCAAATGAGTCTATGACAGCAAAGTACTTGAAGAGCTGTTTACTATCCTAAGAGAATTTAATATAACTTATATAATTATTAATAATACTTGCAACGAAGGATGTGAGATGTATGGTTAGTATAAACTTGAGGATACAGAAATTTTGGTACACTAATTAGACTATGACTGATGCTTTTTTGGCTCTGTCAGGTCCTGTTAGCGGTCTATTGAAAAGGATTCCTACTACTTTCCTTGGTTACTCAGTATAATAACCCCAATATTGAAGTAAGGAGAAAGATCACTAAAGTGAATAAATGCTGCTTTGGATTGAGCAAACAGTTTAGCAGGCTGATACTTTCCAGACAGATCTAGTTCTACCTCTATGAGAGATTAAACACCCCATACCTTCTTTATGGATCAGAGTAGTGGACAACTTGAAAGGCCACTGAAAAGTAACTCCTTATTTTTGAAATGAAAGTTCCCTTTTTTCTGTTTTTAGGAGTAAAAGTTGGAGAATAACGGATTCTTTTGGAGAAACTGATGTGAAAGCTATGAGTTAAGGCACTTAAGATATGCAGTGCATATCACCAGGCTAATACATTAAATACAGACAAGAGGTAGACCAGGGATGAGATGGTCAGGTGGTGTGGCAAGAGATGCTTGCAACATCCTGAGGGTTAGAAACTGGATGGTTTCAGTACAAGACAGCGATGGTTGGCAGAGATAATTACCTGTAACTTTGTTGCAATATTATGAAATGATGAATTACTTAACCTTAATGGAAGTCATGTACTAAGGCTAAACCTCAGCACTAAAGAAAGTAAAGCTCTTTTATGTACTGCCACCTTTTATCACACCTCCTACCAACTGCTACTTTTTGATCTGTAGTCAACCATGCCTCTTCCATTCTAAATTATAGTGGATGTTTGTTTATGTATAAATTAACTCATAAACAACCCTAACACCTGTTAAAATTATGGGAAGAGGTTTTCCACCTTCAAGTTATCGAATTTCCTCTTTTCCTCTCATACTTTTCTCATGATTGAAGAGAAAAGAATTTTTAAATAATTTAATTTTTCAGCAGTCTTAATTCGTCAGAAAATGTTAAATTATAAATCCTACTATTTACATTTATAATTTAGGCTGATCCATTAGCTGATACTGTCACTGGATACCTGAGAATGTAATTCAAGTGAAAATTATCAGTGTTCAGGATTACTGTCCTTTTAAAATGACTGGGACTAAAGGTTTGAGTTTTCATGCTTAGCTTTTTTTAAAATGTTTTTTGATAAATCAAAATCTTGAAATTTAGATCTTAAAAGGAGATTTATTGCTGATGTGATTTATTATTTATTTCAGAACCCTAATGAGCAACAAAAGAATTTGGTTGAACATGCTGCTACAATTATTGCTCAAGAAAACATGGAGTTAGCATGTTGTTTTATACAAAAGACAGCAATGGAAAAAGCTGTTCCTGAAATGGACAAACATTTATTACCTGTTAGTATGATTATTAAATCAATATTATACCTTTGTTTATTTTATTATGATCTACGTTTAATACTAAATATTTGTTTAAAGGAATATGACAGACGTAAAATAGCACGTAATGAAGGTAGAAGATATTGTGATTCAAGTGTACTTACATATCAAGCTGAGCGAATGCCTGAACAACTTAGGTTAAAAGTTGGAGGTGTTACAGCTCAGCAAACAGCTGTATATGAAGAATTAGCTCGAAGCATCCCTGGTTTTCAGCCTATATCAGAAAGGGATGCTGCTATTTTCATCCCTAAACCAGTGGTTAGTATTTATTTAACTTCTTTTTCTTGTAGTTTTTTCTGACTTAGTTTTGAGAAAACAGATGTACGTTAAACAATTGTATATACTTTTTAAAAATACTTTATCTTATTTGCTGTATTTTTTTAAAAGAATAAATAGACTTTTGGACTGTATCATTAGTCATTGTTCAGGGATAAGCATGCATTTTAAAATTCATAGCCTCCCAAACATTGTTTTGGGGATGTCTTACATCTTTAGATAGGAGCAAAAACAACCATTGTACATTTTTAGAGGTTTCTAATTTTTTATAACTGGTTGTTATCAGCTTGTGATAACATTGGTTGTTTTTTAAATTAAAAGTTTAATTTTTGACTGAGGTTTTTAAATAATTATTAACTCAGTGAACAAAGGCAAAGAAGTTAAGATGGGAGGTGAATGAAGTTCGATGCAATCAATGAACTAGCCTTTACATAACAATAAATTTGTCTATAGTTAGCAAGAGACATCATGAGAGGATAGAAAGTAGAATCTATAATAGATCAACTATCTGTACAGATCAACAAAGATGCTGCTGAGTTGCATGCAGCCTACTGGAAAACAGTTGCCCAAAATAATGGAAAAGTTATATCTATACAGAGAGTGAGTAAAATGATTCCAGAGTAGGTCATTGTAGTGTTGAAATATAGAACTGGGAATAAAGGTCTAAATTTTGCCACTAAAAACATCACTAAAATTAATAATAAAGAATGTTAAAATTGGAGTTAGTCATTCTGTCAACTAAAAGGCTCATATATGCCTAGAGAGATTTGAAAGCACATCTAAATATTTAACCTATAAATGATTATCGATTGTAGGACTATTAGTTATGAAACTGTTATTTTTCATTGTAAAGTTTACAGAATTTTCATTGCCTGCCGTGGTTAGGTCAAAAGTTGTCACACTAATTGTAAGTGGATAATGTTGGGATTTCACAAAGGGAAAATTCATCAAATTATTCACTAATTTAATTTTCTAAAAGGCTGCTTTATGATTTTTTGGAATAAATGACCAATAGATACTTGATTATTTAAATATAATATCATCTCTAGTGTTATTAAATTATTGTAAATATATTTAAGATTATAAACATATCCATGAAATATTTTTATATTTCACTTCTTCTTTCACACAAGTACAATGAAATAGTATTTTAAACAATGACATCGCTTGATTCGGTGAATTTTAAATATTTTTTTTACTTTACTTAGAAACAAATTTAAAAGGTTACATTTAGTCAGAAAATTTCATTTAATTTCGTAGGAACCATGATTTAGATTAAATAATGTTGGTTTTTGGAAATAATTTTTTTTTTTTTGTCACTCTTTATTATCTTCTACAACTTTATTTATTTGATATTATTTTTCAAATTCTCCGATTTCCAATGATATATTATTATATGTATACATTTTCCCACATTCACATATTTCCATGGGAAAAACGTCGTCCCGCAGGAGAAGGTTGAGAGTATACCTCCTTCTAAGACCTGCACTGTCTCATGAGGTACTGTTCTGTATGAACTGGATACTCGAAACAGGGCCATCTGCTGCATTGTTGCCAACCTACGCTTCTGACGGCACGAGAGAGTCTGATTCCTCAATGATAAACTCATCCCAAGATCTTATCTTTTGCCACTTAAAAAGTGTCGAAGCAATCAGAATAAATAGAAATCCGATGGTGCTACATCAGATGAAAATGGTGGATGAGGCAGTACCTCTCACCGCAATTCATTAATTGTTTCCAGAGTTCCTCTTGCAAAATGTCGTCTATCATTATCGTGTTGTAGAATAACACCTATTCTGTTGATAATCGCTGACCACTTTTCAATTAAAGGTTTACCAATGTTCTTGGATAGTCAACCAAGGTTGGTTAAGACAGTTTGACAATTCCTCGATCATCTGACATGGATTTGCTTCCACTTCCACCTTTACTTAAACCGCCCTTAACATCATTGTCTAACGTTGTTAGTCTTCCCGATCGATACAAGTTGGGAAGGTCAAAATTACCGGATTTTAACATGGAAAACCACATTAGGCATTTATGAAAGTCCAATGAATTTTGATAAACATCACAAATGTTTTTGGTAGCAACTGTTGCATTACTACTCTTGCACAACTCATAAAGCATCCAATGCCGGATATGTACCTCTTCTGGTGTTTGGCTGGCCATTTCAAATTTAATTATTTACAACTAGACAAGTCACCTTAACATTAGAATATCTTTTAGACTATGGTACAGACCCTTTTTTATCAAATAATTAACATCCGCCTGAAACTTCATCTCATCATAATCTACAAATATTTTATTTATGAAAATTCTCGGTATCGGTCATTTTTAATCTGGAGATTGGCAAACTTTCTCTATTTAATGAGGTACTAAAAACTGGTAAATAGTCATTTGCTTTCCACTTGAATTGTAAGGTGTCTAAAGCTCAAAGTCGAGAAAAAAGTGGTTTTCAAAAATATTGAGCCATTTGGCGTGACCTACACCCCCAAATTATATTGGCCCGATATTTTTGTATGCCACTTTTTTATTGATTTTGTGATCAAATTATCTTATGATCCAAGTGGAAAGCAAAATGGATATTTACAAGTTTTTAGTACCTAATTAAATAGACAAAGTTCGCCGACCTCTAGATTGAAAACGCCCCAATTCCGAGAATTAAATTAAAGTATATAAAATATTTGTAGGTTATGAGATTTAGCTATTTACGAAATTTCAGGCGGATGTCAATAATTTGATCAAAATGGGCCTATACCACAGACTATTTTATTTGCCACAGCAATACACAATGAGCTCAAAATAACAATCAAATTTGCAGAAAATACATTACTTTCCTGTTCCTCTAATATATATTACTAATACCTCTTTATTTCGTAAGCTGTTGTTTCTTATCAAAAACCGTTAAAGTAATGTTTTGATTATGTAACAATGATCTTTTATCATTTAGCCAACCAAAAATAAAATTGTATCAAAACTTATTTGTTATATTATAGTACTTTATTATTCATTTAGATCTTATTTTACCATGATATATACTGAGCTCCACCCAGTTTTTAACTGGTAGGTTCTTTTTAGAGCATTATTTCAAATAATTTGTTTGTTTAATTTTTTCATTTTTCTTCAGTTAGAAAATTATTTAATTATTCAATTACAGCCGTATTCAGCCCAAGATGAATTTGACACTATTTTTGAAAAACTTACATCTGAATTAGAGCATTATGTTCAAACAATTTTGGGAGCTCAAGTTCTTCCTCAAGTACACAATATTCTGGATTTACTTGTTATACTACGAAGAGAAAGAGAAGATGGTTATGCTGTGCGGTTAGTACAAAAGGTATGTTCAATTTCTTTTTAATGGCTGAGTTAACATGTTTATATTTCATAATTAAGAGAGCATTGGTCTTTTATTAATTTTTTTTTAAATGGAATATGAATGACAGATTTTTGAAAATTTATTTCATGAAAATAAGGAATAATTAGTTGGGAATTAAAGAAAAGACGGAAATAAAATGCAATAAGCATAATATTTCTCTCCAGGTGAAATGACCAAAGATTATCACTTCTCAAATGTGGGATTCATCTTTTTGAAGAAGGCCTGTAACTTTAACCAAAATATCACTACACATTAAAATAAGTTTATACTAATCTGTACATCTACATTGACCGATATCTGTATCAATTAATTGTTTATGGACCATTCTCTTTGCAAGTGTCCATCTCATTAATTTTTTTTTTTAAATAAAGTAAAAATTGTAATAAACTTCTAAAAAAAAATTATTAATTAATTATTTTACTTATAGTCTTTCCTATTAAATTTTAATTGTCAGGCATAAAGAATAAAAATAAGGAATATGTTTATTTAATAAAAAGTAATTAAGAAAATGTCATGGATTTATTAGGTCATACTACTTTAGTTAATCCAGACAAATAAAAGTAATAGAAAAATTAGTTTGTATAGAAAATTCACAGTCCAAAGACAAAAATAAGAACCATAATGGGAACCTATTTATTTTTTAAAATTGGTTGAAATTGATAACATTATGTGTGAAATTTTGTGGGATATTGAATGAGCGATTTACTACACTAAACTGATTGATCCTGGTTCAATTCATTTGACATCGCCTATTTTAAATTAATTTTGTTGCTCTACATTTTTTATGTTATTTTCACCAGTTATTTCTCTCTTAATGGGAAGCTCAAAACCATAGTTACAAATTTTTTAAGGTTCTCACTTTTTTCTCAGCGGCGATTTCGAATTTGCTTTTCCACTGAAAACATGTTTTGGGAAAATCTCTGTAACTAGTAATTTTGTTGGAATCAAACCAAAATAAAAACTGAGATCATTATGATTATTATGAGTATTTTTTTCTACATGTTTCCAATCAATACACAGCCTAGGAATAAATAAAAATGATTTTAAAAACTTATGAAAATTAACACAAAAAACACATTTAGCGCTGTAAAAGTGTAATAATGAATAGAGTCTCGACTTCAATTTTTTTCTCATATAAATAGTACTGTCAATTCACTACTTGCTGAAGAAATGTTAGTTTTAAAACCCTGATCCTTTTTTAATCATGAATTTTCAAAACTGGCCAAAAGTGTTTTTGCCAATTTTTTATGTTGAACATCACCAAAGGTGTACTGAGTAATAAATTATGAAATTGATACTGTTTATGATAAAAATGTATGACATGAATTTGTTCAACGAAACTCAACTGATTCTATTAGTTATGTCTAGGAACCAGATCTTCATACAGTTAAAATCTGATTAACTTGCAGAGAAAAACTCACAATATGCAAACTTGATTAGTAAAAACCCAAAATTGTATAATTAACAACTACAAACATGCAAAAGTAATAAAATAATATAAAAATAATACTTTACTTAAATACGATACTTTCAATTTACATGTGATCGTATCACTGACCCTAAGTGCTGCTAAATGTCTGCTAACAGACATCTGGCCTGTTTTAATTGAGTCTAGGATGACACACATTAAGCCTTCTAGAGGCTGCAGTGCATTCTTGTGAAAAAAAAAGTGGCAAATCTTACGGTTTTCTCCAATTTATTTTCCATTTTTCAACTAACTATGTATGCAAACAATTTAAGAACTCGGCATGCTCTAAATATTTTAATTAAAGCCTAAATCTTTTAATATGTTAGCTATTTAATTTAGCCTTACAAATAATAAACAATAAAAATATATATCAGATTCACATGTCTTTGCACATTGAAAATCAATACTTTGCTGAATAGGTTTGATAGGTTTAAAAGCCTATAGTTAGTAAGTTTAGCCAGTAATAAATGGAAAAAGATAACTGAGAGCGAGTGAAAGAGAAACAGCAAAAATCATTAAAAACTGAGAAATGGTTGATGAAATGAACAAATTACACTAAATCTCCATCAACAAAGGCATATTTCTTTAATTCTATCTAGTTTTATCATAATTATTTTGACTATTTTCTTAATATTGAATAGTAATTTAAATGATATGATACTTCTAGAGTCTTACAGAGATCTGCGAAGTCGATGTGGGGAACAAGTGAGATTTTAGTTATTTACATTGAATATTAGTTAATGATTTGATTTATTAAGTAACATTAAATTTTTTTTAAATAAAAATGTTTATAGGAATATTTCTTTTGAATATAAAATTATTTTTGGGTTTTCTTGAGTTTTGTATATACTTGTTATTCTATTTGGTTAAATTTTTTACTCATTCAAAGAAAAAAATACTTTTTGTTACAGACTGTTGAAAATTTAATGGAGCTATCATCAGTTACCACAATGGATCCTGAATTGGTTTTGAGACATCGTGATTTATACTTAAGGATTTTAAAAACTTTGCAAGACCCTCGTGCCTTTGGAACACAGTGGACAAATAAACATGTTACAGTGTATGGTTTTTTTTTTTTTTTTGCCGTTTGATATTTAGGGTAAGCACACCAGTGATGGACATAGTTAAGGATTTTCCAAAAAATGGTTTGCCTTATGACGCCATAATTATTATAGTTATAAACTTCTCCGTTGGACATTTAGGATCTCTAGGGTCTCCTTTTTTTATTTAGCACTTTAAAATTGAAAAAATATTTAGCTATGCAGATATAATCTCCATTTAAAGAAAAACATCTTGCACTAGTGATGGACACCCCGAACTTTTGTTTTAGTAATGGACAGCAGATCGGTACCAGTAATGGACCCCTACCTTAACAAAATTCTAAATGTTTTTTTGACTTTAAAGATAATGATTAAGATAAGATTACATAAATTTCAAACTTACTCTTAGCAAAACTGTTATTAGGAAAGTATGAAACACACTGCTCTCAAGAGCACTATAGAAACAACAATGATGAGCATTTTAAAATTTTCTTTTGGAAACTTTGTTCATAAAGTTGTCAATAGAGAGGGTACTGCTCTTCAATCTAGAAAAAAACTGGAACCTTTAAATGACCATGGAAGTTTATTATTTATATTTAAAGTCTATCCTGTCCATAACTGGTGTGTTCACTCTAATTTTGTATCACAAATCTTGATTGTAATTATTACATATATTTCTTCTGACTTTCCATAGGACTGTTTTGGAATGTCGAGAAGAATACCGATACAATTTGGAATGCATCGATGTCTTAGTTAGATCACAACTAATTAACATGCAACAGTTTGATGTCCAGTTAGCTCACTTCATGGAAAATGGTCAGAATTATGTAGCTGTAACTTTTGCTATGCAATTAGTTCAGTTATATCTTATAGATGACAGAAATAATTCTGTGGTAACGGAAAGTGATCTATTCAATGTAGTAGAGGTATTGGTTCGAATTAATGCCCACTCTCGCCAACCTCCAGAAGGGTAAGCCATAATTTTATTTCTTTTGGATATTAAATAATGTTAAAAAAATATAAAAAATAAAATTATTTCAACAGGGAAACTTTTGTGCCAAATTTCAGGACAGTTTAGAGGGTTATCTGAGAATAAATACATGTTAACTCATCATAACCAATTTTAGGCTTACTGAAGTTCAGATATTCAAATAAAACTTTCTTTGAAATTCATTATCTGTTTATTTATTTTCTTTAGGTGTAGTAAATGTTTTAGAAAGTATGGAGACATATATTTGAATAAAAAAAGGGATTATGAGTTAAAATTCAAATCAAATTATTCTGAAAATTTGAGAATGTTTACAAAAATTAGTGCTGTTGTGATTTTTGGAAATGTTTATAAAGGTTGGTAAAATGTTCAAAAAGCTAAGTTTTCCAATTAACATCACCTTTAGAAGTGTCACCATTTTGATTAAAACTGCTATTTATTTTATTTTACTGTGGTTTTTTTTTAAGTATCTGTCTGACAAAAAATATATGTGGCACTTTTTTTCTTTACTGTTTTGTATTACCTAATTTTTGAGATCAATCCTGAGATACAGATCTTTGATTCTTGAGATATTCACCAAAAAGTATGCAAAATTTGAATTCTGTATTGGTTGTTGCTCAGTAGTAAATAAATAATGAATCCTACACCAAAGTTTGACGTAATAAATAGTGTACCAAAACGAAACTGATTTGGCCACGTCTTATAGATACCGAGATGCATCATTTTTAGAAATAAAAACAAATAATTCTAATTAAGTTAAAATGATACATGATTACTCCCCGATCCAGATGGATCTTATGGGTAAGTTATTTTGTTTTACTAGTTTATGAAACCAACGTTTGACTCCAATATGAAACTTTCAGATTTCTCGAGACAAAGCTGCTTGAATATTATATGATTATAAAAATATATAAAAGAAATATTTTATACGTAATATTTAAGGTAGATATAATAGCTGATTAATAGATTTAGCTTTTCGCAAAGTTTTCTTTAGCAGCTGTTACTGTTTTCATTTGCAAGATAATTTTAAGAAAATTTACTTCATATTATATTTATTCATGCCATCAGTGGATGTTATACCACATCACAAAAAATGTATCTATTTGGTCAAGTTAAAAAAAAATATATATATATATTAGATCATGTGAGGAATTTTCAGAATTTTAAAATATTTCTTAATACTCAGGAAAGAATAGAACAGAAAGAAGTGCTTTTTTTTCCTCCATAATATTTTTATTTTTTTTGTTTGTTTTTGGTTATTGCTGTTTCACCAATCTGAATTCATCTTTCAAGTAAAAATCTTTATAAACACACACACACACATATACATATATTGATAGGCAGAAATATGCAATAATTGACAACAAAAAATACCTTTAAATAGTAGTGACAAAAAAAAATCAACAAAATTAGTACAAATAATGAAATGAACTACAAACTAGTTTTTGGCAAGTCACATCAAGATATCATGACTAGAAGATAAGAGATATGAGTTGTGCCAAAAATGAATCACTAGTATTGAGTAGTAGTAAAACTAATTAGTAATAATTATGCCCACCAGGGAAAGCCATGCTGCCCGGGATTCTCCCACCCACGGGTATGTGAGACCCGTCAGCCTACTGGAGGCAATTCGTACCGACCGGCCGTAGGACTGATGACTCTACCCCGTGTACTTAAATCAGGAATCGGGATGTGATTTACTAGAATGTCAGTAGCCTCCCTGAGGTTTGGTCCATGGATTTCCTGAGAGATGGTCTGTCTCAGGAAAAGAAATACAGGTCCTCGTGCACCTGCTGCTCTGAGTGGCCATAATCCATGGATCTAGACCAATTTATCACTGTCCTTGAACCCAAGTGAATCAGTGAGAAGGACACTGCCAGATTGGCCCCAAAGGGATCGCCTATGGAGCTACGGGTGGCTTGCCGCTGCACCGTGGAGACCCTGGTTAGTAGCAAAGTGAGGTTGGGTGACCCCTTCAGGCTATCTGCGCTCCCGCAAGCAATATACGTCTGGAAGGAGATCACATCTCGTGGCCTGTAGTGCCAACTGAAAAAATATATATATATATTTATTATCCTTAGTTGATGTGTGAGCCATCACAGTTTAAGGAATCCAGTGTGTTACATGCTGACATATTATAAACCAGTAAATCTTGTTAGGTTTTTCTATGTTATCCATTTGAAGTATGTCTTGTATTTTGTATACATCACTGGGTGCAGAGAGAAATGGTCCTAAATATTTATGTCTATCTTCTATTAGCTTTCCACAGTAGAGAAGGATATGGAACAGGCTATTTAAAATGTATTGGTTAAAGAAAGTGCAAGTTTCCTGGACTTTGAAGTTTAATATTTTGTTTTTTGTGTAAAGCTTAATTAATTTGGGATTTGAAACTCTTTACTGATGAAGGCTTCAAGAAGATATTACAACATCAACGCATGTATAGCTAACAATGATTTGAGGCTGAACATTGTGAAGACCAATGCCATTATCATTTTGTCTTAGCAAGACCATATAACAAATAATATATTATCATATATTCACTTTAATGGTCAACCTGTTCGCTTCCACACTTCTGTTATAAACCCGAGTATTATTAGTATTATTTGGTCAACACCTATCCTGGAATCGCCATGTTTTTCAAATTATCAGAAAGTCTATCACTACTCTTAAACAGTTTCTGAGATTCCATAATTCTATCCTCTTAAAACCAGTCAGCTTTTAGCTTCTGTTCTGATTTTCCCCAACTTTGATTATGGCTGCCTTATATAGTGGACTTGAGGTTTGATTGAAAAGGCTAATAAATTGTATCATTAGATTCTTCTGCGGAGTCCCATGTCTCCAGTTGGTATTCCGAGTTGAAGTGGCTATATACAGTTTCTCAACGGCAATATTTCTTAGATATATTCCTTTTCCGAATCTTTACAACCAACAAACCTTCTTGACTTGTTGACTCCCTCTTCCTCTATCCATTCTTTCAACACGAGATCCCAGCCCACAAACCTGTATATTCCTTCTCATAAAGCAGATAATTTTGAAAAATACTTCATAATGCATGCTACCTTGTTTTGGAATCCCTTATCCACCTCCATACGCAAAACCTCATCATTGACTTCATTTAAAAACCATTTGTTTCTCCATCTCATCAGCCATCAATCTTCCGAATATTTATAAGAAATAAATATGTTACAAAACTTATTCTACTGTTAATTCACAGATATTTTTATATTGCTTACCGTGCAAATATGTAAACACGCGGATATCTTTAGGAGCCTTAGCTGTACCACTTAAATAGCTTCTAGATATCTTGAGCTCCATATTTCAGAAGAATACAGAAGGATTGAACACATCTTCTATAGAATCAAAAAGAGCTATTTTTGTCTCCCATGAATCGTTTCCACCCTTTTGCAAAATACTTATGCCGTTGCAACAGAGAATTTCTGAATAAAATACCCAGATGCCTTACTAAATCTTCCTGAGGAAGCGAAAGATAATCCTAAGTAAGTTTAGACCTTAGTGTATTCCAACTTTTTCTTATGCCAGCAAAGAGGCTGAAGTTGCTTCATCCTAGGGGATTTATGAAATACATCAAGAGTATTCTTCTCACAGTCCTGTTGTAGAATCTTCAATTTCTTTTGTGCTTCTTGCCAAGTATTACTTATAAGGATAAACTTCATCTGCTAGTTAGAGCATTATTGTCTCCTGAGTGTTATCGATGCTTTCGTCTGTGATTCCATTATCTTGGAAAAATTGGATTATATCAGATATGAACAGGATGAAAAGTGTTGGGCTAAGACTTTCTCCTTGGGACAGACCTGATGTCATATCTCAGTTTTCCGAGAGTTGTCTTTTGATTGTCTTACACAATGATTGAGTTGTAGTTCAATCAATCATAATGAGAGTTGTAGCATTATCATTCAGCTCCTTCATTATCCTTATGAGCTTTCCTTTAAGTCGAAGTGAAAAGAGCTTTTCCCGTAGCAGGTTGTGGTTGATGGAGTCAAATGGCTTCCTAAAGTCTATGAATGAAGCATATAAGTAGCTGCCTTCAGTTCTAAATTTAATACCAACTAGTGGCACTAAGTGAAAAGTTGGTCTGTGCATTCTCTACTAACTTCTAAATTCCACTTGTTTTTCAGGTATGAGATTTTCCGATTCAGCCCATTGTATTTAAAGGGATATTCCTCTATAATTATCTGCATCCTTCCTGTCCACTTTCTTAAAAAATAAATTAAATTTTACTCTAAAGCAAAACCACTAGGGAGAGTTTCTCATGGTCCATCACAGCATTAAATAGATAGATAAGATAGTGTGAGGTTTTTGAAGGTATTATATATAATATTGTCGAAGCCAGGAGCTTTTTGATTCTTGGGTTGTTGGACACAATATTGTAGCTCTTCTAGTGCGATGTTGCTTTAAGATATGGGTGAAGCACTGAAAAAATTTATTTTCATGGATGGTTTTTTGACCGTTTTGTGATTTATAAAATCTGCTCCTTCTATTTCTATTTAATTAAATTGGGTTTTATTTGGTTTCAGAGAAGTAATAGTAGTCCAGAACTGTTTGCTGTTTTTAACTTCCCTGAGATTATTTAGTGTGAATAATCTGAATCAAATTTTCTTGGGTCCTATTAATTTCCCGTATCAATTCACTGAATGCATATATTCCTGACTTTTATCATTATAAAAATTGAATCTGATCATAGATCATACATATTTTTATTCTAGCTCTCTTCTCGAATTTCTAGTCTTGAGCAAATTGCTTATATTGAAAATTCTTGGGAAATTTTTTATAAATCATTAGCCCTGCTGTGGTCATACTTCCCTGCTTATAAGTAATGAAGCACTCATATAGTAGATTAATATCTTTTAAGTTATAGTTTATTTTATTAGAGTTTGATAAAAACTTTTTGAACTTATTTACTTTAACTTCTTTGTTATTATATTTATTTTTAAAAGATGACTTGTGCTTAAATATTTCCAATT